CGAACGGATCAACAGCCGGAGGCGACTCTGGCCGACCGACTATCTTTCCTTCTCGACAGTTCTTTTTGCATTGCGCATTGTTTTCCTCCTGCTCGGGATATGCTCTCGACCAGGCTGGACCCATTTTTTCCCTTCATTGCTTGCGCGAAAATGGCGAATTTCCACACAGATTGGAACATATGACGATGATGGGGCGGCTAGACTCACATGAGCTTGAGACGTGGACTCGGTATTTTGGTTTTTATTCTCTGCTCTTGTTTTTCGAGACAAAAATTGGGGGGTCATTTGGGGTGGGAGGACGACTTAAAGACGGCCAGAAGAGCCACACCCCTTTTTACGCATTGCCTCAAAAGCGAAGCATACGTTTTTCTTTCTTTCTTCTGCATCACCGACGAAGCTGATGGTGCCTGAGAGAGGTTCAGCATCTCGAATTATATCTTGAAGGGGGTTCATTTACGATTGTTACGCTTATCGTTCGACTTTATTAGGAGGATCTAACGAGACTGGACGAGACTGGATGAGAGCTTTTCGGGCAAGCTGATGGCACGATTGATATGATGAAAGAGTGACGGAGTCCAAAGATGGCATGACGAGAGACGTTTGAAGGGAACGAGACCGACGAGATTGCTGAGTGGGCAGAGAAGGCAAGAGAAGAAGGAATGTGGAGGAGGAGGATGGGTTTCTAATGATCCTACGCCTTTTCCCTATTTTACATGCGGACGCCTCTGCGACGCTCATGATGATGATAACGACCAAATTTTAACGACAAAGACTTCATGGTACGAATGGCAAGAACAAAGACGATCAAAAAAGAAATAAAAACAAAAGGCTTTCGAGCTCCTTTTTTTTTCTTTGCAAAGACTATTGAATTTTATCCTTTGTGTGTATGGGTATTGGCGTGGTTACGTCTCGTAAACTTTGGGTAGAGGTCCGTCAAGTTGAGATTGACATGGAGGGGTTGATGGAGTCTGGTACCGGCAGCTCGCCGGGTTGCCGGACGGGGGTCTATTGACAGAGATTGGTGGTGGGAAGCTTCACCGGAGCCGAGGCGTCGGAAAGTGGATGCTGTCTCGGAGGGTGCCAGTCTGACCAGTACGGTAGGTACCCTTTAGATATCAGGCGGCGCGGTGCTTGTCGTGTGAGCGCCGTCCATTCGGCGACTGGGAGTTTATGTCGAGTAACAGACAGTTCTGACGAATAGGGGGCATGGAGAGAAAAGGGAAGAAATGAGACAGACAATGTGATGATATCTGGTATTGTTTGCTCATTCGTGGGAAAGGACGTGTAGCTTCAGATTGAGACGATACAGTTGAGAAAATACCGACGTGAATGTCGTAGAGCAGCTTAAGGATGCCATCTACATGACTTTTTTGTTTCTGTTCAGGGATGCTATTGCTGTCTTGCCCGGTTCCATACATTTCTTGTTCGTCTCTTACAGACTTTAGCCTACCTTGGTACGCATTAACTATTTATGCGTAAACGATCTCGCATTACTCCAAAGCAAAACTATAATCATGGCGTATTTGCACAGAGGCAACGAAACAAAGGGGACATAAATGCCTGGCATCAAATTTCAGATGATCTGCTGTTTGCCTTTGGTCGTTGAAAGTTAGAGTGTATCCGTAGTATGGGACGGACGGAGCGGGAGTCCGTGTGGCGTGCTGCGGATCTCGGCCGGGGTTTATTCGGATCTTAGCACGGAAGGGTGGGGAGGACCGGGCTACCCCTTCCAGAGTTGAGAAGTGACAGAGGCATCCAAAGAACAGGTGAGATCAAGACTTGGAAGGAGGAACCTCAAGGGAAAACAAAGATGGACCTAGACGTACCTGTCACTGCCCACTGCCCACAGGTTTACAAGACTAGTTGCACGCTGGTATGCTGAGCAGCAGCGTCAGAAGCCAAATCGTAAAAATGGCCACGGCCGAAATTCGACGCCGGGCGGTCCCGGGATGTGGATTGTGGAATTTCTTCTCTTTCAAGTTTGAGGTGGCCTGTCACGTTGGTTCAGTGACCCCCACTTATCGGCGTCGTCAAGCGTTCTGGAACTGTGACTGCCCACGGTGCCCCCTACTCCGTACATAGCAGAGGCTTAGGATGATGGATCGTGGGCCGGACGCGGTTGTTTGAGAGGAGAGGAGGTGAACACGTACGTCACGTCGCATGTTGAGCGATTTGAGGATCCTTTCCGCCGGGCCCATGGAACGGAGGCATTTCCCTCTCAAGGCCCCAAGAGTGGGTGGCTCAATTGACGATTTTCCTGGAAATCAATGTGGCTTTGCACAGAGGGGCGACTTCCCCTACTACTCCTCCACCCCAGCTTTCCGAGTCACGAGATGGGTATTTCTGCCGCGGCATTGGACGACGTGTAGCATGAGGTGGGATGAGCGACTCCACCAGCTGAGGCGTCCAGGCGAAATCTGTCCTGACTTGGCCATGATCATTGATAGCTGTTGCAGGCTTGCAGCGCAATGTGGGCAAGGTGCTGCTTCTCGAATGCGCCGAGACATGCTCATCAACCGAAGAGGAAAAAGGATGCCAAGGGAGAGATGTAGGTTTGAAGGCTTGATAGCTCCAAGGAAGGGATGCGACGCTGGCATTCGTCGTAATTGCGGCATGAACTCGTAAACACAACACGAGCGGCCGAGCCCTGCAGCTGAAGAAAGCTCGTGTCCCGGGCGTGAGCATCCTCTTCTCTCCTCACCAAGAACTTGATCTTCCGGTTTCCCCAGCATCTGTTCCCGTGATGCTGACGGACGGGCAGAGATGCGCATCCACGATCCGGGGGACAGGAGGAGGCAAAAGTCGCGAGTTTAGTACGGGCCCGTCGGTCAGCTGTCTTCGGGTCTGTAGGGAGAGCCCTTGCAGTCTAGGTTTCGAGCGAGCCAGACTCTACAGACAGTGGCCCCAGTGGCACGTCCAGATGCGGACTTCATACGGGCGGTCCAGCATCGGGTTGCGGCGTAAGACGGTCTACCATTTCGACGTCTCTCCCCAACGATAGTAAAGAGGCAACGCGCCGTCGATTGGCTTAGGATTTGAATACAAGTCTGCGAGCGGCAGCGGCAAGCAAGGGAGGGCGGAGGCAGGCATGATCAAATTCGTCAATCTCGGCAGGGGAAATTGGGGGTAAGGCTGGGTTGACGAGGCCTCGCGGAAACTCGAACGTGTTTGGCTGGTTGAGGTGATGTGCTTGTGTGCCAATGTGCTATGCGCCAGGAGTTATGTTGCCATTGGGGCTGACGAGTCGCCGCAATCTCGAACTGGAACGTCGAGTCCTCAAAGTCCCCATCGTACAGCTACACCTCCACTTTTCCTCTCTGTCGCGTCCATTGAGAACCTGGAAAAGGCTCGGAGGGCCGAGTATAGTGCCTCTTCCATTGCCGAACGTGCTGTGAACTTGTGATTGTGTAGTGTACCTATCCCCACACACGGATCGCCGGGAGGGCATGTTTTCGTCCTTGTAGGTATCTGTTTCTGTAGTCTCGTAGGCTGTGCTCGTGCTTTCGTGCGGATAGTGGTTTTTTTGAGTTTGAACATTGATGCTTTTGTACAGATAGAGTAGAGGAGCGTACTCGGTAGGACGGGAGCGAAAGTCGAAAAGCTGGAGAAAGTGATGGGTGGCAGCCCCTGACAGCTGGGTCTTGCCTGAGCTTGGGGCTGGGCTGGGCGTTGCGGCGTAGCGTCTTTGCATGGCAAGCATGGTCCTTTCCCTCCCAGGACTTTGTGCCTGCTTCCTTTTCCCTTCTTCTCGCCTCGGAGCCCCACTCTCGTTGACGGGATGGGATTGGATGATGGGATCACATGGGGGCACTGCGCACGGGGAGAGGAGGGAGGTCATTGGATGGGATTCCGCATTGGCCATGGAACGGTACGTCTTCCGGTACGCAGTACGGAGTAGACGTACCCTGGAAATTCGATGAACCAGGAAAGAACAGTGAACAGCGTCCTACCTTCCTTTACCTTAATTATCGACAACCTCCCGTCAAATCTCTCAGGTAGGTACTCAGCTACAAGAACCTATTTGTGCCCAAGTTATAATTGGAACATCAGAACTCAAGTATCAGCTTTACCAACTTACCTAGTTCATCCGGGCAGGCAACGTGGAATGGTGAATGGCTCTGATTGGGATATAAAAAGTCTAGAACAATGTACCAAAATACCAGACACTTCGCAGCCCAGCATTGTTGGTGCTAATCCCGCCCGTTAGTGTACCCGTTCGAACCCCCCATTCCGCCCCTGGGCCCCTTCTCTTTCCCCCCTTTGGGTGCCCTGTGCTTCTTGCTGTGCTGCCCCCAATTGATTGCCATCGTAGGCAGCCCGGTCAAAGTACCGCACCATAGACAAAACAGTCTCGAGTGACTTGCAACTTGTAATTGACCGGGACCTTGGGGGGTACAGATGTCGTGTCATTTTTGAAGGTGCATTCTCCCTCACCACCCTGCGCCTCTTTTGGCGTCTCTCCTGCTCTTTCTGCCTGCCCATCTGTGACCACTGACCACTGAACAACCGTGGACCTCTTACCTCCCTTTTTTTCCCCATCCCAACTTTCTGAACTCCCCTCGTGGCTTCCTTCACTGCACTCGCTCAACCTCTTGCCTTTTGCAACTTTCTTCCCCCAAAAGGTCTTCTTCCACTTTCCCATCTTCGGATCTACTTTCCACAAGCAGGATTCCGTTGTATACCCTTTTGGAGAAAAGGCACGCCTGTCTCTCTCTGTTTAAACAACCTTCTAATCGCCCATTTCTGGAACTGAGCGAGCTACCCCTTTGGTCACCTCAACCAAATACACGCCAGTCCTCCTCTCCGAAAAAGCGCAGCTTCCCCTTGTCGCCAAATTCAGTCACACCGACCAGGCCAAGAGAACCTCTTCCCTCTTTCAACTCTTCACACACTCGTTTACATACGCACCTCACACACCGGAAGCTACCACGTCTTCCCTTCTCTGCGTCGCACAAAGATATCAAACCATCACATAACCCCTCAACCACAATACCATCAACATGAAGGGTAAGGACTTTCCCCATACGAACAGCTACCTACGCTTCCTCCTGCCCCAGTTCCAGTCTTGCCCAACGATCTGCTGTGCTCGAGGCTGGCGGCAGGCGCATTATGTGGTCAGCAGTGATGCAGACTTGCTAACTTGTTATCACAGCCATTATTCTCGTCGGCGGCTTCGGCACTCGTCTTCGCCCTCTGGTACGTCCATTCCTCTCCCTAGCTGGAACACACACCATACAGTGGCAGCAGCAGGTTTCTGCCAGTGGCTGTTGTACCTTCCATACTCTGACAGAACATCTTGCTGACCTGGTTATTCCAATGCGCAGACCCTCACCCTCCCCAAGCCCCTGGTCGAGTTCGCGAACAAGCCCATGATTGAGCACCAGATCGAGGCCCTTGCTGCTGCTGGCGTCACCGATGTTGTCCTCGCTGTCAACTACCGCCCTGAGGTTATGGAGAAGCACTTGGCAGAGGTGGGTCTTTCCCTGAGCTCCCCCTCCTACAGCTATTATGGACTGGCAGAATTGATACTGACTTCCTTCCTCCATAGTACGAGAAGAGGTTCGGCTTGAACATCACTTTCTCTGTCGAGACCGAGCCCCTTGATACCGCTGGTCCCTTGAAGCTGGCCGAGAGCATTCTTGCCAAGGATGATACCCCCTTCTTCGTATTGAACTCGGATGTCATCTGCGACTTCCCCTTCAAGGACTTGGCCGAGTTCCACAAGAACCACGGCGATGAGGGCACCATTGTGGTGACCAAGGTCGAGGAGCCTAGCAAGTACGGTGTCGTTGTCCACAAGCCTAATCACCCCACCAAGATCGACCGCTTCGTCGAGAAGCCCGTCGAGTTTGTCGGCAACCGCATCAACGCCGGCATGTACATCCTCAACACCAGTGTCCTCAAGCGCATTGAGCTCCGCCCCACCTCGATCGAGAAGGAGACCTTCCCCGCCATCGTCAAGGATGGTCAACTGCACAGCTTTGATCTCCCCGGCTTCTGGATGGACGTTGGTCAGCCCAAGGACTTCCTTACTGGTACCTGCTTGTACCTCACTTCCCTCACTAAGCAGGGTTCCAAGGAGCTTGCCTCCCCTTCAGAGCCTTACGTCCACGGCGGCAACGTTCTGATTGATCCCTCTGCCAAGATTGGCAAGCACTGCAAGATTGGACCCAACGTGACGGTTGGCCCCAACGTCGTCATTGGCGATGGCTGCCGTCTTCAGCGTTGCGTCCTGCTGCCTGGTTCCAAGGTCAAGGATCATGCGTGGGTTAAGAGCACCATTGTCGGCTGGAACAGCACTGTTGGCAAGTGGGCTCGTCTTGAGAACGTTACTGTCCTTGGTGACGACGTGACGATTGGTGACGAGATCTACGTCAACGGTGGCAGCATTCTCCCTCACAAGAGCATCAAGGCCAACGTCGATATCCCCGCCATCATCATGTAAAACCAAACCGAACAACCGAAAAAACACTATACCCGGGCCTGGACGAACACTCTGAGGGTCCGCGCTCTTCACACTTCTTGTCTGCACGCCTGTTCTTATCGACTTTCTAATTTCAAGTTGCGATACGATTCATCACTCCACTCATGAGTCTTCAAACTTCAAGAAACGGGGGCGGAAACCAAACACTACATTTTTGGCTGGCGTCGGCAGGGGGAATCATTTGGCGAGCACAGAAAAGCACTTGGCTTTGCGATGTTTTACTTACTTTTTTGCGTTTGGGAAAGAGGATGGTCCCCAATTTCGTTACGAAATGCAGACGAACGGTGTCGAGGGCTGTTTCCCAGCTTGGAGGATCTCACCCTCGATGTGCCGTGGACATGGAAGACTCCCAACTGTGGAGTCATCTGTGAGACAGATGAAAATAAAGATGATACCTGTGAATTTGATGCTCCAAAAGTACTTTGAGATTGTGACTGACAATTCTTCGTGTTGCTCATGCGCGTGTCGTGCGAGTATCTCGTGATTTGATGTGGGGGGAAGGAGGGGTGGAGGGGTACCTTAGATGACGGATCACATTTGCGCCTTCCCCGTGTGGAGGGGTGAGTGGGTGCGAAATGCAAGCAAGGCAAGAAGCTGACTTGATAGGTATCCTGTCTAAATGAAAATAACTTTCCCCAAAATATCATACCACCATCCCAGAAATAGGCTTCTTTCTTCTTTTCTGTATACCCAAGTACTCCGAAAGGAAAAGAATCTCCAAACCCAGATGTTTTCTACACTTTTCTATTCCGCATTATCACGCACCCAACCCCTCGACATCTCGACAGCCTGCTCCCACTTTTTAAACATCTTTTGACTCGTCTCCCTGTCGAGCGCGGGCGTAAAGATCTTGCGCCCCGTCTGATTGACGTGCTTGAGGTCCTCGAGCTCGTCCCAGACGCCCAGCGCGAGGCCGGCGGCGATGGCGGCGCCCAGGGCCGTCGTCTCGCGCATGGCGGGGCGGTTGACGCGGATGCCGCTGATGTCGGCCTGGGACTGCATGCAGAGGTCCGAGTTGGAGAGGCCGCCGTCGACGGCGAGGTTCTCGAGGGCGTGACCCGAGTCGTTGGCCATGGCGTCGAGGATGGCTTTCGTCTGGTAGCATGTCGCTTCGAGGGTCGCGCGGGCGATGTGGCCTTTTTGGGTGTGGGCTGTGATACCGACTGTTTTGGGCATGTTAGTAAGTTGAGTGGTGTTGATTGAGAGATGATGACTTACACAGAGTGCCCTTTGCGTCGTCGATCCAGTACGGCGCAAAGAGGCCGCTAAAGGCCGTCACGAAGACGACGCCGCCGTTATCCGGAACCGTCTCGGCCAGCTCCGAAATGCGAGACGAGTCCTCGACGAAGGAAAGGTTCTTGACAAGGAACTTGACGCCCGAGCCCGCAACCGCAATGCTACCCTCGAGGGCGTACACGGGCTTCCTGCCCTTGCCGAAATCGTACGCGACGGTAGCCAGCAAACCCGACTTGGATATGACGGGCTCCTCGCCGACATTATACAGCAGGAAGCAGCCCGTGCCGTAGGTGTTTTTCGCCTGGCCCGGGGAGAAGCCGCACTGGCCGACGAGGGCGGAGGATTGGTCGCCCAGGCAGCCTGCGATGGGCACGCCCTTGAGGACGCCGCGGGCAAAGGAGCCGAAGGCGGTCGGGTCTGAGGAAGGGACGATTTTGGGGAGGTGGATCTTGGATTGGTCGATGCCGAAGAAGGAGAGGAGGGTGTCGTCGTATTTGAGGGTGCGAAGGTTCATGAACATTGTGCGGCTGGCGTTTGTCGAATCGGTGACGTGGATCGCGTCGTCGCCCTTATCTGCGCCGCCGTTGAGGCGGTAGATGAGCCAGGAGTCGACGGTGCCGAAGGCGAGGTGGCCTGCGTCGTAGGCTTCGCGGATGGAGGGGACGTTGTCGAGGAGCCAGCGGAGCTTGACGGAGGAAGGATAGGTGGACAGGGGCAGACCGCAAAGGTCCTGGAGGGCGTCTGCGCCAGGGCGGGCGCGGAGTTCGCGGACGAGGGAGGTGGTGCGGGTGTCGGGCCAGACGACGGCGTGGTGGAGGGGTTCGCCAGTGCGGACGTCCCAGAGGACGGTGGTCTCGCGCTGGTTGGTGATGCCGACGCCGCGGATGTTGGCGGCGGAGTAGCCTTGTTCAGCGAACTGGGCCATTGCCTTTTCGACGCATTCTTCGACCGAGGAGAGGAGCTCGAGGGGGTCGTGCTCGTGCCAGCCCGAGTGCGGGTAGTGGTTCTCAAACTCGATCTGGTGGCTTGCCACGGGGTCGCCGAGGCCGTTGAAGATGAGGAAGCGTGTCGAGGTTGTGCCTTGGTCTATGCTGCCTACGAACCAGTGTTCTTTGAGCTCTTCTTGGGTCTCTGTGATGCCGGCTGGGAGGTGTTCGGCCGGGTCTGCGGCCACACGCGGGCGCTTGGTTTCTCTTGTCTCGGCCATTGTGTTGTTGATGCCGGTGCTGCTGTTGTGGTAGGTTGTTGGTAAGTCTAGAAGAGGGGACAGAGGAAGAGGAGGACAGAGAGGGACGGAGTAAGAGTGAGACACAAAGAGAGGAAATACAAGGGGTATCTCGAGGGAAAAGAGAATGGAGACGAACGAGGGGCCGAGGAAGAGAAGGAGAAGCTAAAGACTAAGCAAGCTGGGGCTCTGGGGACTTCAATGGGGAACGGGGAGGGTCGGGGGGGGGCCACGGGGGGTATCACGCGGAGAGAAGAGCAAAATCGACAGCGCCCCTGGGGTTGTACGGGATTCGTTTCTGCAAGCACGCGCAAAAGCAAAGGGGGCCGTAGGAGCCGGCGTGACTGGCGGGGCGGGGATGGGGGAGGACGGGAACAAGTCGGGATCGTGAACTTCGCGATGGAGCACGAGGCGATGGGCAGTGAGGATTTGTGAGTGTACAGGTATAGGTTGAGGTTCTTGTGTGTGGATGATGACTGACTGTCTAGCTAAATATGCCGCCTCTCGATGAGGCTGGTTGGTGGTGGTGGTGGTTGTGGTAGTACAGGCGGCGGGAGAACGAGAGTGAGACTTGGACTGAGACGAAGTATTCCTGGGCTGTTCGTCTCGTGAATCTTCTGCGTCTATTCCAGCCGCACGAACACCGTCGCCGTTGTTAGTCTCTGCCGTGGGATTATTTCCCAGGGTCGTCTTTGTTGTCTGTGTCCGCCGCTGCGACGACAAATTTCGGACGGACATGTGCTGCAGCAGCGGCGGCGGCGGCCCCAGCTTGAGCTTCGCGCCGGCGCTCGGCATGATGTCAGATGCGGGCGTGGGGCGCTGATTGGAGGAAGAATTGAGGGGTTTGGGCCTCGCGCGAAGCTCCCGCCGTTGCTGCTGCTGCTGCTGCTGCGCTACTGCCGTTTTGCACGTGTGTATGCCAGTCTCACTAAACTCATCAACACTCTCACCTGCCCGGCCGTGTATACAACGCCTATGGGTTGTCCATGGTCTCAATGGCTTCGTTCTTGACTTCGAACTTGCCCTTGGACTCGGGATAAAGAGCTTATTCACCGGCTCGCTGCTACCGGAGACGACGGCACCCAGACAGGGGGAAATCCTGGGGAGTGATTGGGGGGTTTTAAGGACGCGTGAGAGCATTTGAGGATGCATTAAGGGAATTGGGCCCAATACTGGGTCTCAGGAGTCGTAGATCGAGCTCGAGGGGGCTCGGGAATCGAAGGGATTTGCTGCCTGCATACGAATTTGACAGCGCGGTAGGTAGCGAATAATACAGGCGAATCATGAATGTCTGCTGAAGGATGTGGTCGGTTCTTCGTCTTCGCGAAACTTTTTTCGCGCCGCTAGGTCGCTGGTTCGCGGGTGGGAAATCCCGAGGTGCGTTTGATGGAGACATGGGGCGGCTCTGGGTCTCGGGCATGGTCGGGGTTTGAGAACCGAGAATCTCTCCATTTTTAGGTAAAAGGCATTGGTTCTGCTGGGGTCTGGGGTCGATGAGTTAACGGGCCTTCACCGAGGTGAGGGTTGGTGAACGGACTGTCACCGACGGTAGCTTTTGACTACATCGTAGGCGTAGGTGGAAGAGAGAGCCAAGTGGGTGACAAAATAATTTGCCGCTCTCCGAGACCTAGCTCTTCTCTCGCTGCTCCTAAGGACTTTCTGTACTTTTGGAAGAGCAATCTCCAGCGAATACATAGAAACTATAAGTAGTAACAGAAATATAGATAAAAGGGATAAAAAGAAATTAAGAATAAGAAAGCTAGGAATGCTAGATAGGTCGTGAGTAAGTCTTATAATTTATTTTTTAAACCAGTATTCTATCTTGTGACCACTTGGCTACACTACAGTCGTAGTTTGTATGGGAGCGTTTACTCAGGGGGCCGTACAGAGTAGGGTGTCAATAGTCTATTCGCATACTCGGACCTTACATACCGGGGAGTTCTTATTTTACACTTTTTCTATGATGCGAGTGGCCGTCCAGAAGGGGCACGAATGTCCAGGCTCTTCTGCCGCTGCTTTTTCGACTTTTCTGTAGCTTGAAAGAGACTATTGCGATTTGTTGTGGACATGACGAACGACCTGAGATTGTGAGTGTGGAATTCGTACTTGGTCGCCGCTGTTTTGGGGGCATGGGTTTGAGTGGGAATGGAAGGCTCGTGAAGAGATGGTGATGGAAGTAGCTGGCCTCCGGTTTGAAGACTACTAGGGTGAGATGTCTACCTGAAGAGAGTTTTCAAGACGGCTGGGAGGTTTGAACGACCCTGGCTAGTCACTGGCGGGCACAACCCCGAACGGACGGGAGCATTTCGTATCACATTGATATTAAAAGACTTCATAACTTCATTTCCTTGACACTCCGCTCTTTTGATATTTAACGCTTGTTTACTAAATCCTGCTCCGAGTCTTAGGCTCGGTCTCAGGCTACCTGAATTGCCCCTCGCACCTGTCCGCCTACCTTAAGGTAGGACTTCAAATCAAATTGAGAAAGTCATTTAAACCCTGCATCTCTACCCAATTCTCGCCCAGCTTAAAACAGACAAGCAGCAACCGCGCTCCAGGCAGAGCTCTCGCCAGGCTCCACGTCCAGGACTTGTGAGCTAGTCATACTTTTCCAAACACTCAAGAAGAGGGAGGCGAGAAACCCTCCTGAGATGACAACAAGAGGGAGCACCGGAAGGATTCCATCGAGGACCAACCTCGGCCCCTTGAGTAAGGTGGATAGCGTCGCATAGCTAAGGGCAATCGAGAGGAAGGTGTATCTGTATTGAACGATGGAATAGATTAGCTTTTGTAGTCGGTCGAGAAGAAAGTAGCGCTTACACGTTGGGCAACTTGGACATGTGACGCCAGACGAGGAAGAGGAGACCTCCCCCAGCCAATGCAAGACACCAGAGGCTGTTGCATCTGATCAGCTTAAGAAACATTATAGTACTATTGACGAGTCGACCGACCTGGTGTAGACTAAGTCGCCTAGCTTGTTGTCGTGATCATCTCGAGTAACGGCAATGTATACGGATGCGACTGTTGTTGTTGTCCCCCCGATCTTACGCAGTATCGTGAGGACGTGGCCACGGCATAGCATAGCTATTTGACGCCTGAGGTCAATTTTTTGCCATCTAAAAACACAATATGGGGTTTGAATTAGCATTCATATCACTGTTTGTTAGCGGTGGACGTACATGTCATCAACATTCTCGACACTGGGGGGGATTGGAAGCGTTTGACGCAACAACATCGACCTAGCTGGAGAAACTGCCTCCTCGATCTGCCGGAGCTGTACGTCAGTCATAATCACCAGGGTAGTTGACAAAAAGACACTGGTAGATTCAAAGATTTTGATGGAGATGAAGTCTCATGAAACTGAAGATGGAAGAAGAGAACAGCACTCCTCTCGTTCCTGAGGTGTCTGGGGGGCGGAGTGCCTTGTGCGGGGGCCAGCATTTGAGAGACGAGCAAGATTAAGGCTTACCTTCCAATGTGCACAAAAGTAAGGCTATGCGAGATGGGCTGCCTCCGACTATGACCCAATCACACGGATGTTCTTGAGCATAAGCTGCAGCGCTCATGGAGAGGGGTTGCGACGCCTTGCTTTCTGAGAATCTGCACTCGGGATTATCGCTTTGCCAAAGGGTCAACCAACAATCCTACTACGGAATAACAACACTTCTTCTACAGAATACCAACACCGTCAACAGACCGTCTCGAAATCGATCACTTGCAAAATGGCTATGGAAATCGTGGGAGCAGTCGTTGGAGTCAGTGGCGTCATGCTCAGCGCTGTGGACGTCTTCAAGAGTTTGAACACGAATATCGCGGTGTTCAAGTCATACCGCGATGATTTCGAGAAGATCGATCTCGAGATCAACCGTCTGGAGAAGCAGGTCTCGGACCTCACGTCCACCCTATGCAGCCCGAAAAGTGAAGCTATCGCCAACTTGAAGAAGTCTACGGCGGCGCTGCTAGCTGGAATGTCGATCTTGTCGGGATCAGCCACCCTGGACCTGTACGCCAAATACCCTCGATTCCCGGCCGTCATTGACACGGGGTCTCTGGAGAATAAAGTGTTCCCAATCGAAGCAGATTCATCTCAGAGATTGGCCTGTGTGTTGGAGAGCATCTTTGGGCAAAGCAGGACAAGCAAGGTCAGTGACTCGGAGCAATCGCTTGAATTATGTGGCTAACATCCATGATATTCATCAATACCACAGACCATCCAAGTTCACTCGAGTCCGACACCCGAAGTATTGATTCTCGGCCTGGTCGCATATGGAGCCGGGGCGTCGACTTTGTACCATCTGAACCATCGAGACAAACACCAAGATACGATGCTTGCGGCAGGAATTGTGATCGGGGGACTCCTGGGCATATCCTCGGATATGGATGGGGAGACCATCCTCTACATCGTTCTCCCTTGGACAGTACTCATCGCTCTCTGGCTAAGCAATATCTCTCATCGATTTTGGTATTGCAACGCGAGACACCAATTCTGGTACTGCAGTAAGCAACGCCATATACAGTACCGCCGCTCATGTCCCAGTTGCCCCGAACCTCGCAATGTTCATCCCGCAGACCAAGCATCCTTTCCTTGAAGTTTGAGAGCTCCAAGTCCTGGACGTTTATGGGTCTTTGCCGAGTTACTGCTACTACTTCTATTTCCTTGATATGGTGCTTGGAAAGTGGGAGACCTGCCCATCCTACCCCCACGAGAGAGCGTGTGGATATCTAGCCCGGTATTTTCGGAGGAGCGGAGGATCTCTTAGCTATGAAATGTTCGTTTGTCCACCACAGAATACAAACCACTCTCATTAACCCCCCCCCCCCCCCAAAATCGAATACGATGACGAATGCTTTGTGCCTGAAGATGTTGCGTGCCACCGAGACGAAATGCATATTAAGAAGCAAATGAAAACCCTTGAGGAATCACTTCAAGGCAGGAGACTGGGTGTTATACTGGCTGAATACTCACGGGAAGACGTACGTAGCACCGCCACGGGAAGTATCGAGAAATCCATGCCCCAGTTCCAAACAAGACTGGCCTTTCCTGAGCCCATGGCGATGTTGGTTGTGAGATTGCCGAGTTAACATACGAGAAACTTATATATATATTTAAAATTAGATGCCATGGGTGGATGGGTTTAGACCGTGTTCAATGACATAACAGGCCGCCTCTGAAGTATGGAGGGTCTATTGTCATGTCAGTATTGAGTCAATGTCAGATGTTTGCACTAAGTTGAAGGCGAAAGTAGTCATTTGTATATCCATCAAATAGGGATCATTTATTAACCTGAGGAGAAAACCTCACCAAGTATGAGCATAAAAATAACCCACCCCGAATGAGAAACCTCACATGAGGGCCAAGACGTAATTCGGCTCGAGCACTCGTAGCAACACCACAGACTTAGGACATACAACGAGTATTCCTACGTTGCCTTAGCAGTAAGTCAACTTTCTGAAGCGATAACACGACTTTGAAATTGCATGATCCCATGCTTAGCCTCGAAGAAAAGTGTGCGCTACAATAATAACATGAGGACATTCGCAATTATCATCGCCCACTCAAGATTGCCAAACCAAAACGAAAGTCACTTTTTACATGAAGCCAAATCAGATTCAAGGCAATGACCGTACTCCCAAACAGTAGATGAAACAAAACAAATACAAAAACGAAAAAAAAAACGCAAAAGATTAGTACACGCCCAACTTCGAGCGAGGCTCGAACTTGCGCGTCCCACGAGGCAACCAGAGAGGGCCCGATCGGGATATTTGCTTTCCCTCAGCATGCTGAGGTGATACCCCTAGACCAAGTGCACTTGGCCTAGCGGTACCGCCTCATCTGGTGAAAGCAAAGCGAGTTGAAGCGCCTCATGAGGGTCTGGACGGGAGATGGAAAAGACATCCGGGTGTAGAGCATGGAGGTGAGGCAGGTAGGTGAACTTGCGCATTGCCTTGGGAGGAAGGGTACGCCAGTTCAACCCAAAACCTTCCTACCGTATCACCCGGTCTTCAGTGTACCACCCAAGGTATATATATATACAGCCTCAGGCGTGTGTGGATGGTCCAGCTACCGAGAACCTCAGGGTGAGCACCCTGATGAACACATCTTGCTATGGCCTCATCGACATGTCCCAAGGCCGTCCAAAGTTTTCGAAACGAAAGGCCCATTGCGTCATGAAAAGTACTGACCAGTGTCCTCAAAAGATAATAGAAATATGAGAGGAGAATTGATGGGTATCACAAACGTATCCTGTCCTCCAACCACTCCGCAATGGCATCCTCCCCACGCTCACCAAGCTCAAGCCCCTCGTTCTCACCAACATCGACGACAGTCACCCGCCTCTCAGCCTCGGCTTCCACGTCAAACTCCTCATCCCACTGCAGCCTCGCCTTAAACTCCAGCTTCTCCAAGCTCCGCCGCATCAACCCAGCCAGCTCCGTCGCCTGGGCCTCAAACGTGTGCCCTGCCACCTTTCGTCTCCTCGCCGTTCTAGAGGCGAGTTCTCCAGCCATGGACGATGCCAAGCTGCTTTTCCTCGTCGCTGTCTTACGCTTTGTTGGAGGTTCAGTCGGGGTATCATGAAGTAACAAAGCATGAGGCAGCTTGAGCGTCGATTTTCTCGGCGGGAACACAAGGGCACTTCGCCTCGGCGCTGCCATCATCAGCCCTTCCGTGACGCCAAGGATATCAGCCGGCTTCACATCCGAGTTGACAGAGGAAAGCCGTTCCAACAACGACGACACGGCCGCTGCCTGCACGAAGCTCGACGGCGCGTTCATGCCGGGCGTCTGAAAGAGGAGACTGGGGCTCACAAACGGGTCGAACAGGTCTACTGGTGCGCGAAACAAGCCCTCCATCTTCATCTGCAACATATGCAGCGCTGACCCTTCTTCAGGCCGCGGCGGGAGCTTCTTGCTGCGCGCGCTTGCGGGTCTGTTGATCTTGTGGTCTGGGAGGAACATTGACCAGTTGTATATGCCGTTCCAGGCGACTAGTCCGCGGACGGCCATGCGGGCGTGGTGGTGGGACTCGGTCAGGGCTAGTGAGGTGGCGATGCTGGCGCCGGCGTGGGAGCTGTAGACGTATATGTCGCGGCGGGAGTTGGTGCCGGAGGGTAGGAGGTTTTCTGTGATCCAGGTGTAGCCGGCGAGAACGTCGTGTAAAGGGGTGGGCCATGTGAGAGGCGTAGTGAAGTTGAAGTCGAGGTCTGGGTCATTTTCGGTTTCCGATGAGGTGGGGACCGGAGACTGGGACCGGGACGGAGACCATCGGTAGTTGATTACGGCCGTTGGATACGGCATGAGGAAGTGGGGGATGGGGGTCAGGTATCCCGGGGTTGGTGAGAAGGGCGGGATGTACACCATCAAAGGAGTTGCGGCGGGATGACGATTCACATTGTAAAGGCTGACGTTTGCGTTAGAACAGAGGTCATGACCTGGTGGGATGGAGTGAGATATACTCTACTGTGATGCCCCCCGAGGAGCGACAAGGAACGTCGACGGACTCGATGTCAGGCCTGTCAAGATGGAAACATCGTCGTTGAAAGACATGGGTTGGGCGCAGACGAGACGACGGCCAAGGTGCCGGCCATCTTCTCATCGTCTATGAATATAAGGCAATAGCAGAACGAGCTACTGAAACACTCATGTTCAGTTGGTCGCTCACTCACTCACTCACTCACTCACTCATACTCATACTCATGTAAGTCGATGTAAAGTAAGTGTATGAGTTTGAGTGAGTTATTCAAGTAAACAGCCAACTGCAATTCCCCAGACGCGTTTTTTTTCTCACTAAGTTGTCAAGGGACCACCCTCGGACCAACCAGCGGCCATTCCGTCTCCTCCACACCACCACACCACCATCATCTCCCATTTCTCTCATTTCTCCAGCCTTCGTGTTTGCACCGCCGCAAACTGTCCCCCACACGTCACCTCTGCTAAGCTTCGAGTTCTTGGTCAAGGGTCCCTTCAACTCCCACTATGTTGCAGTAGCGTCTACTCCGTACGTCGTACTACAGTCTACTGTCTCCTGGCACCACCCAAGAATTTGACCCCAAGCGCCGGGACAACCACCGCTGAAATGGAGCCAAGAGATCGCTGTGTCGGAAGTGATCATGAGCTCTGTCCAACTGCAGGCATGGGTGACCTGATCCGTCTTGTGCTTGACACCAATCTGTTGGCGACATGCGATCCAGGGCGCATATTGCATGCCAAGTGAAGAAAGATATATATAAGTTTGAATGCCAAGGACGATTGGTGCAAACGGTCACGGCGGAACTGGCGGCCAAACATTTCTTCAAAGACAAAAGATCGCCGACCCTTGCAAGGGAACCGTACACTTGAGAATCTGAGATGGTCAGACAGAGATCATCCGGCCGTTTACGATCTAATCTAGGCCACGCAACGAAACGCCCGTCCGTTGCGTTCCTCGCTACGTATTGGAGCACATCTTTTTGACGTGTCTCAGCTATCTGATCAGTAGACGCGAAAAGGAAGAAAATCGAGAGGAAAAACAAGGCGCGAGTGCACACCCTCTTCGGCATCCCCCAAACAGACGTCATCGCGAAGTGCCTTCATCCCCCTCCGTCTGGGGCACCCCGGCTAGCACGGATACCGGTAGTACTTTCAGGAGTCTAGACTACCGACTCTATGGATCCTCAACCTCGATGAGAAAAAGGACATTTCGAGAATTCCCCTCTTCTTCAACTTAGTTATCAACTACGGCCAAGACCTGTCAAGATAATCGTTCACAATACTTTAGCGTCGTGTTCTTGAGAAATCACCCTACCCTAGGTAGCTTACAGCAGCCGGGAATGCCTTCAACCTCGGCGGATCCACCACACCGCACCCGCTCATCTGCCCCGCGCGGCTCGCTGCTCGACCCAACCTCGACGCCGCCATGAACGACGCCGACCTGGGCGATAACATTGACGAGCGCATCGGCCAGCTTGAGCAGTCCAAGAACCCCCGCAGCAGCGAGAAGCGCTTTGCCAACGATGTCGCACATCTCGATCCGAGCAGGTGGTGGTTCGCCTCCTCCGCGTTTCCCATGATCGCCGGCACCCTCGGCCCCGTTGCCTCGGCGTTCAGTATCTGCGCCCTCGTCCGGCCTTGGCGACAGCACTACCCGCCCGGCACCGATATCACCACCGCCGCTTTTAAGCCGGATCCGAAATGGTCAGACTCCCGTCTTATTCATGGCCCCCCACACTCACCATGTGTGAACCATGCGTCAACACTGACATGAGGCTAACGATGTTTGCAGGCTCATCATTGTCAACGCCATCCAGCTGGCGATAGCAATCATCTCAAACGTCTTCCTCCTCCTCAATATGGCCCGCCGCGTCCGCTTCTCTCTGGCCCAACCCATCACCATCGTCGGCTGGTATATGTCCGCCATCTGCCTCGTCGCCCTCAACGCCACCGCCGCGGGCCCCCTCGTCATCGAGCCCGCCGAGGAGTACATCTTCTCCCAGGCCTTCTACTACGGCATGTTCGCCGCCATCCTCTACTTCCTCACAGCCTCCCTCATGGTCGTCACTGTCTACGGTGCCGCCACCAGCCACTACGCAAAGGACTTCCAGCTCACCACCGCTCAGCGCACCCTCATGCTCCAGACCATCCTCTTCCTCTGCTACCTCCTCGTCGGCGCTCTTGTCTTCTCCACCATTGAGAGCTGGTCTTACCTCGACGCCGTCTACTGGGCCCAGGTCACTCTCTTCACCGTCGGCTTCGGCGACTTTGCCGCCGCATCCCCTCTCGGCCGCGCCCTGCTCATCCCCTACGCCCTCGTCGGTGTCATCTCCCTCGGTCTCGTCATTGGCTCCATCCGAAGCCTCGTCCTCGAGCGCGGCCGCCGGAGGCTCGATGCCCGCATGGTCGAGAAGAAGCGCCGCCAGCTCATCCGCACAATGACTCGCAAGGGCAAGGACGAAATCCTAAAGCCCATCCACCCAGACACCAACGAAACATCCGCCTCCGCCGCCTCTTCCCCGTCTCTGCCCGACACGGAGCTCAAGCGCCGCGAGGAGGAATTCAATCTCATGCGCAAGATTCAGCATCAGGCCTCGGCCCGTCGCCGCTGGATGGCCATGTCTGTCTCCTTCTCCTCCTGGCTCATCCTCTGGCTTGTCGGCGCAAAAGTCTTCCAGGAGTGCGAGCGCCCTTACCAAAACTGGTCCTATTTCGAGGGCTTCTACTTTGCCTTTGTCACTCTCACGACGATCGGTTACGGCGACCGCACCCCCGTCTCCAACTCGGGCAAGGCCTTCTTCGTCTTCTGGTCCCTCCTCGCCCTGCCCACCATGACGGTCATGATCTCCAACGCCGGCGACACCGTCGTCAAGGCCGTCCGCGACGCCACCCTCGAGCTGGGTAACATCACAATCCTTCCCGGCGAGCGCGGCTTCCACAAAGACCTTATGTCCGTCCTCCACCGCCTTACCTGCGGCTTCCTCTTCCACCACACCGATGAGGACTCGGATGAAGACTCAGATGACGAAGACGAGGCCCTCCCGCCAGGCTTCCTTTCAAACGCCCACCGCAGACGTCGAGAAGAAAACGACGATGACGACAACGACGAAGAAAGCGACGAGATAGAAGCCTACTCCACCGTCCTAGACCGCGAAACCTCCCACGCCCCTCCAGCATTCTCACCAGAACCAAAAGACTACCAAGCCCGTCCATCACCCCGTGACCGCCAAACCACCAACACGACCCGCCGCCGCCGCCCCTTCTCCCGCACTCGAGACCCCACCTCCGCCCTCCCAGCCTCCCGCGCAGACTACCACTTTCTCCTCATCTCCGAAATCGCCGCTGTCCGTCAACACGCCAAAGAGAAGCCCGCGAGGCGGTACACTTTCGCCGAGTGGGCGTGGTACCTCAAACTCATAGGCGAAGACGAGTCCAGCTCCGCCACGCACCGCAAGGCGCGCCCGCACATCCACTCGAAAAAGAAGGCGAAGAAGGCAGCAAATAAGAGGCGGCGCAACGGGGTTGTCGATGAGGAAAACGCAGAGCACACGGAGGCAGAGTGCCCCGACGAGGACAAGTGGTCCTGGGTCGGCTCGCAGTCGCCGCTGATGGGCAGCCAGGAGGAGTGCGAGTGGATCCTGGAGAAGCTTACCGAGAAGCTGCGGGACGAGCTTGACGTTGTCCGCGGCGAGGAGCTCGAGAGGAAGAGTACGGTGGACCGGGAGCGGGATCTGGCTGATGAGAGAAAGGGGAGGGATGAGGTTGATGAGTTGTTGAGACCGTGATACCCCCCTTCCTGATTGCTATTTCTGTTGCGATATTCACAAAGTAAATATTCTCTTGGATATATTCTAGTCACTTCAGACACCTCACATTTGGTATCCATACATGAGCGCATAGCTACGTCTCCATGATCTACACAACATACATACATACATAAAAGAGGTAGCATTATATCAAAGTCTTGCATCATTCGTGTGAAGCAAGTCAAATTAGGAAAAACTCTTAGAAAAAACTCTTTATCCACCATTCGGCGAGCCACACAGACCAAACACACACACAGAGAACAACCTTGATATCTCATAGCGAAAAGGGGGGGTATCAGTATCATTAAGTTTTATCCATCCCCAAGTGAGGATGCAGAAGCCTCCAACTGTGGGAAAGGTTATCTGGGTATGCCCGTAGTCCTAGGGCATTTTCTTCCTCAAGAATACAAATATACATACACTACGGCTACACGTATCCAAACATGCAGCAAAAAAAACCTGCTCTTATCAAAATGCTTTGAGAGGAGCATCCAACAAATCCCGCCCTCTGCATACCCAGTAAGGTGTGTATGCTTCTTTCTCCACGCTGATTTTGTCAACGATAGTCTTCTCCTATTCAAGAAGAAAGAAAACTTCACCACCTCATTCCACTTCCACCAACGCCAGCAAGCAGATCCACCACCGTCCCTACGACGCCGACCCCTAGCACGAGGGTCTGCACGGCGACAGCCACAACAACTCGTTCCACGAGATCCAAAAGACTCACGGCTAGTCATCTGCTGCCGAGGAGAAGCCTCCGGTTCCGCTTCATGGCCTGATTCAGCCCCTTCTCAAGCTTCTCCGTCTCCTTGCGCGCAATACCCAGCGCCGACTCGGCGTCCTCGACGCTCATGAGCGACATGGCATTGAGTGGTGTGCCAGGCAGCTTGGGGTGTACAGCTCCAGTTCTCTGCTGGGCGTCCACCTGTGCGGCGGCCGCCGCCATGGTCGAAGGGGAGGCGTCGGTGACGAAGCCCTCGCTACCCTGCTGGTGCTGTGGCGAGTCCAGACCCCCAAACGGTGTCTCGTCCTCGGGGATGTCCTTGCCTGAGCCACCGCTCTCGGCGGAGTAGATGCCTGCGCCCGCTGCTGCGTCGTGTCCATAGATGTACGGAGCGAGGGAGTTTAGGCTGGCGGCGGCTGTTTCTCGTGCAGATAAGGCGTCCTTCGCACCAGGTGCAGATTTCCAGCTGCCCGGGAACAAGTTGGTGTTACCCAAGTTAAGTCGCGGGAGAACAAACTGGTTGATGTAGCTGATGGCCTCTTCACGCTGAATCTTATTAACAGGGTCATCGGAGAACATCTTTTGTGCGTTGGGCGAGGGTGGGAAGTAGGACGGGGGGCCGTTGGGTACCGCTCTGCCCTTAATCAGGGAGAAGCCACCCGGACGGGCCTGGTGGCGGGGCGCAACAAAGCTGTCGGGCTGGTCACTGCCAACTGCCACAGACTTCTGAAGCGCAAGATATCTGCCTTCTTCCTCTTCGGTGAGGTTTCTCAGACAATCCCCGTTGGGCGTGATGAGTACACGCTGGCCTTCCATGACCTTGCGCACCGGCTGACCAGTGAGGAGGACAGCATGGTCTGCCTCGGACACCATGTTCTTGGTCGTGGCCGTAGGAGGCGGGTTATTGCTCAGGGTCGCAGCGGAAGGCCTGTCAAAGCGAGAGTGAGCGTCGAGGAAAGGCTTGAGCAGGGCAAGTAGTTCCGCGGTGGGAACCTCGCCTGCTTCATACAGGGCATGGTAGACAACCTCAGGAAAGGTATTCGGGTTGTCGGCAATATCCTGAGACTCTTCTGGTACAGCAACAGCTGTGGGTGCAGGAGGCGGTGGTGTAGGCGTTGTAGGTGTCCCTTCCTTACTCTTGCCCTTCTCCTCCGCTGCCTTGGCCATCTTGGCGGCTTGCTTGGCAGCCTTGCCCTTAGGAGGAGGCAGGTCCACCACCGTTCTCTCGACGATGGGCTTCGGTGGCGGAGTTGGCTCCTTGGGAGGAGGGGGCGGGGTTGCGGCACGCTCAACGGGCTTCTTGACTGGTGTAGGGGCCGCTGTGATGGGCTTTTCCTTCTTCTGCTTCTTCTTGCGTCCGAGGATGGGAGCCTGCTCTTCGGTCTCCACGACTTTAGGCGCAACAGTAATGGAAGCGGACTGCTCCTTGTGCGCCTCCTTTCGCTGCTTGCGCTGCTGACTCTTTGTTGTGTTGCGGACAGGTGCGGTTCCCACTCGGGTAGGAGGCGGTGAGCTGGTGCGAGAAGCAGACACAGATGCGGAGACGATAGAAGCGCTGTCGCTTATGATTTCGCTAGCCGGGGTTCCAGGACGTCCAGAGGCGGAAGACACAGCTCTGGCGGCCGCAGAAAATGCGGCGCCCGATGGTAGCGCTGGCGGCACTTCAGCTTTCGGCGTCGGTACAACTCGCAAAGTCTTGGGCGCTGCTCTCGCGATAGGTGATGCTACACTGGCAGTCGTTGGTGTTGGTAAGGCTGGGAAGGCCGAGACGTCAGATTGCTCCGTGGTGGTCGTCTCTGGTTGCTTCGGCTGAGCTGCACTGGTGGCGGCGGCAATGTTCAAGATACCCGGTATGGGCTTCTCCGTAGCCTTGGTAGCTTTGGGCGCTTCAACAGCCAGCACGGGAGACGGACCTGAAGCAGGCGTCGCGGCTTCTGGTTGGGGCTTCTTGATGCTCGCGGGGGCGGTCTTTGGAGTTGCAGCTGCTGACTTTGCTGGGGTGGCAGGCCGTGGAACATTTCCCAGTGCTGGGAAATCTTCTTCCTGCAACTGCAATACAGACTTCCCCTTGGAGGGAGATGCCTGGGAGGCAATGTCCTTTGACAGACCGCTCTCGATAGCCAAGGCTTTGATGTTCTTCTTGGCTTCTGTCCCACCGACTTTCTTACGAGAAGCCTGATCCGGTGTGGCAGTCCGTACGATGTTAGCCATGGTAGGGACTGCCGGCTTGGGGGCCGAGGGTGTCAGTGGCGTGACTGGTATTACGGGAATTGGTGCTTGTCGTGGAGCCGGCGATGCGGTTCTCTGTGGAGGGCCGAGACCAGGCGGCGGGGTCGGAGCTGCTGGTCGTGATAATCCGCCAAGGGTACCAACATAGCTCGGCAGGGGGTCGTCAGAGACCAATTTGTCTACCGATAGAGTGGCCTCATCGTCGAGCGAAAAGAGATCGTCATCTAGGGAACCAGTTAGTCAAGGGGTTCCCTAGAAGTGGTGTTTCTTTAAGATAAAGAAGGAAAAGAAGAGACAATAAAGCATGGTAGCAGCACGAGAGACAACAGTTTATATACATGGACAAAGGTTTACAGGAACAAGACAAGTCACGGCTGCCATCATCGTCTTCCATGATGATTTGCGAGGACAAACGAGCGGTAAGTATGAGCAACGTGCTATATTGGTCCTTGTGCCACCCCCATCCTCATAACCGGAGGACGGTCTGTGAGTTAACGTACATTGAGGCGACTGGAAGACGATGATGGCTTGCCTGACTGACGTGACCCCATTAACCATGACGACGTGCGGTCCCAAATGAAAAAAGAGGTATAATGCCGAGACGAAGTGTAGGTGTCGGTCCTTGCTTGCCCAGAAGAAAACGTGAAGCGACGCCAAATGCAACCCTTTGCCACTCTCCCCTGAGCAGCCCTGATGTTTTCCGCAATGCTCGCTGAATCAATGCGTGTGTAATGTGCGGTGCGATCTCGGTCCCTTTGAAGAACGGTCGTCCGCCTGTGATATGCCGCGACGCCCTCCCCCTCATGATACATGAAGTGTAAAACAAAACCCGTAAACGACCAACACCGACACCTCATCTATCGCGTTGTCTCTCGAGGCTACCAGCCTGCGCCTGGGAAACGCGTATTGTACATCATGTTCGGGTTGTACCCACCTTGGCTCTGTCCACCGAACAGTCCCTGTCCGACTCCGGCGTTGCTCTGCGACTGGTGTTGCATTCTCGCTTGCAGGATACTCGGGTCCGCAAGATCAACTAGACCACCTCCTCCAGAGGAGGAAGTGTTAGCATGTCTGTGCTTCTTCCCCTTCTTCTTCTGCTTGGGACCGAAGTCTTGGAATGCTCCAGGCTGGTTACCGTAGAGCGACGCCAGGAGGCCCGAAGCAGGAGCTGGGGTGGAGGAGGTAGAGGATGGGTACTGATTAGAGAAAGAAGATAACATGTACTCACGCTTACCAGCATCATGACCCTGTCCATTAGTTCCCCGACCCCGAATCAACGTCTGGAGAAGCTCGGCGGAATCCTTGGAAGTCGCACCGAAGGCGCCACCGAACTGGCCCTGTCCAAACATGTTTGGCGGAGTTCCTGTCGACTTGAGACCTGGAGGAGGTCCGGGCATGGAGGATGCATAATACTGGCTGCCGGGCTGCGAGTGGAAAGCGGAAGGCATCATGGCCGTCTGCTGGGCCATGATTCTTGGGTTGGCGGCAACCTTGACTGAAGCTGAAGTGCCGGCGGTGTCATTAGCAAAGCTGAACCTAGATCCTTGTCTGTTGTGGCCGCCACCTTGTTGCTGAACCGCAGAGGGCTGCGCAGTTGGAATGCCAGGAGGCAGGTGATCACCAAAGCCGCTCTGAGAACGAACGAAGAGCTGTTGTTGAGGTGTCATAGACCGGCTGCCACCAACAGAACTAGCAGACACAGAAGCTTGACCGAATCCAGAGCCAAGTGCAGGACCAAAAGGGCCGTCGTTATTGTTGCGCTGGATGGGAGGCTGGGTGCCAGGTCTACGCTGCTCGAAGACGACGTCACGAGCAACGTCTCGGTCTTCGGGCTCGCCACCGAGCGCCAGACTGCCTCCAGTCTCCGGCTCGCCTTCCGAGGCCTCTTGAGGTTCGCTTTGTTGCTCCTGGTCTACGCCGAGGCGCGACTCCTCTTCTTCGCGCATGGCTCTTCTCTTTTCGCCTCCGCGGGTGTCGAACATGGGAGGGTAAATCGTCTCGATCTGGTTCGTATCCGGCGCATGGTATGAGAAAGGGCAACCCTGCATGGCCTTGAGAAGCTGTCTAAGCAGATTCTCTGGAAGGCTGTTGGACTTTCGATTGTCAACGGGAGCGGTCGGCTTCGGGGCCTTGGTCTCGGTCGGGGGTGCGGGGGTTTCCTTTCTCGAGGGGGTTTCGTCGATGGCCTCGGGTACTGCCTCGGTGGTAACGGGGAGAGCTGTCGAGATTGCAGGGCTTGAAGCGGCGCCACTAGTGGCGTGGCTTCCCCTGCGGCTGCGCTGAGGATTTCTTGCCCAGTTGGCAGAGGCAGGCAGAGCTGGTCCATCGCCGCCATTCTCGGAGCCGTCCTTGCTTGACGATCGTGCCATGGGTTGAGAAGCGGGAGCCGCAGGCGGTGCGGTATTCTGTTGTCGAGAAGCGGTACGAGACGGCCCGCCACCACTGCTGGAGGAACCACCTCCCGGGAGGGGACGCTGAGAGCTGATGCTGTTCATCGAGGATAGATCCTGTCTAGTGTAGCTGTCTTCCTCGTCACCTAGCTCGTGCAAGAACATGCACTGCCTGTTGGTGCACTGCTCGTGCCGCAGCCAGGCCGAGCAGTACTTGGTAGTACCGAGCTGAGCTCTGAGAACGCGATCGCCATTCTGAGAACCGTTGACAGCCTGGATGCAACGTTGGGCGTCTTCCTTCTTCTCGAAAGTCACATAAATTCCGAGAGACTGGTGTTGGCCGTCCTGGCTCTTCCGACTGCTAATCGAGATTTTCAGGATGTTGCCGTATTGACCGAAGAATTCGGGCTTGCGAAGCGTCTTGAGTAATTCGTCCTCTCGCACTGTAGGTGTCAGGCCGGTCACGTAAACCAGGTTCTTCTGAACGACCCGGACGCCGATGAGGTTTTTGCGGTTTTCCTTCTCGACCTCGCGCTTCTGAACCTCCTTCTGCTTCTGTTCCACAGCTCGCTTCTTCTGGTTCTTCTGGATGTTTGCTCGGAACTCGGCGACCCTAGTGTTTGTCAGCGTGGCGTCGACCAAGGTGGTAGGAGGGGTACACACTCTTCCGTAGTGACAACCTTCCACTGGATTGTCTTCTCGTCATAAGGTCTTCGGCATGCAGGACACAGGCCGTTCATGTTGTTCTTGATATTATTGAAGCAGAACTGGCACACCTATGAAACGGTTAGAGGTCGAGGTTCTTCGCCCGAGGCAGGAACGATGGAATATGGGGGTCGCTGTTGCCGTACCTGGTAGCCGCAAGGGCATGGTCGGAAATTCCGATCTGAGAGGTCGAACTCCTCGATACATAACGGGCTGTGGTAGAGAGAGTCAGTTCACGATGCCCAACACCTCAGAGGTCTCACGCAGGTATTGCATGCAAGCAAGATGCGCGCTAAGTCAAAAGTAAGGTAACATACCATGTATCATCCTCCTCGTCGATGAATGTGTCTTGGGGTGCCATGGCGACGGTCTGTGGCGGTAGGTATATTTCGTGGGATTGCGGGAAGGTTGGGTATCGATTTGTGAGTGGAGGTGGTTAGGAGAGGGAAGTTGTTCAATACTAGACAGAGGTGAAGCCAAAGCCTTTCTCGGATGGGTCGTCTGCTGCACTAGAGCGTGGTGCCTTAGGTAAGATGGGCCCACAGAAGCCGTCACGTGCGAGCACCAATGACAGGCCAATCAAGGGACCGAGAATATTGCAAGTCAGCAAAATTTAGATCCACCCCCTCCAGTCGCTTAGGCAATCGTGAAGGAAAGAACGCTCTCGAGCAACGGCAAGTGCGGTTGTTTGAATTTTTGAAAGGAAATCACAAATTTCAGAAAGGTGCTCAATATTGGCAATTGTATTTTGACCAAAACTTTGAGTCTTTTAGGATTTGCTGTAAGGTTTTAGACCGTTGAGACACAGAGGTTGTGAGTATCTCGTCCAGCCAGTTTGCCAGCACCTTCAGGTCTGCATCCAGTGTCGCAAGTACCACCCTGGGGGTGGACCTACGCCGGTTAGCTTCTTTCAATCCCCAAGCATCGCGAATGCACAGCATCATCAATCAACTTCCCCAGAGGCAACAAGCCCCCCAGCACTGCAACAACCGCAACAATGGCAACGAAGCTCTATCGTAGCAGAGCTCTGGCGGGCTTGCGCAACTGCCGCCCCAGCGAGATTCGATCCTTCTCAACCTCAATCCCTCAATTGGCCGGCTTCCCGACCGGCTTTCCCAAGGATGCCGAAAACATGAGGAAGTCTCCTCGCGAGCACATCGGCACCCTCAAGGCTCCTCTCATCAACCCTGCCGACAAGTACGGCTCCAAGGCCGATAATCTCCACAAGTACGGCTCTTGGATCATGGGCTGCTTGCCCAAGTATGTCCAGCAGATCTCCGTCTGGAAGGACGAGCTCACCATCTACGTCTCTCCCTCGGGTATCATTCCCGTCTTCTCCTTCCTCAAGTGTAAGTGTCAATTGATCTACGATATAGCCTCGCTCTCATCTAACAATTCGTAGACAACACTTCGGCCGAGTACACCCAGATTAGCGACATCACTGCCGTCGACTACCCGACCAGAGACCAGCGATTCGAGGTCATCTACAACCTTCTCAGTGTCCGCCACAACTCGCGCATCCGCGTCAAGACTTACGCCGACGAGGCGTCCCCCGTTCCCAGTGTCACCTCCCTCTTCGATGGAGCCAACTGGTACGAGCGTGAGGTCTACGACCTTTTCGGCGTCTTCTTCGCCGACCACCCCGATCTGCGCAGAATCATGACCGACTACGGTTTTGAGGGCCACCCCCTGCGAAAGGACTTCCCCCTTACTGGCTACACCGAGGTCAGATACGACGAGGAGAAGAAGCGCATCGTTACCGAGCCTCTTGAGCTTACCCAGGCTTTCCGCAACTTCGAGGGTGGCTCAAGTGCTTGGGAGGGAGTTGGACCTGGCACGGACAGACGCCCCGACACCTTCAAGCTGCCTACGCCGAAGCCAGAGGAGAAGAAGGAGGAGCCGAAGAAATAGATCAGAAGATTCTGACGTGTATATAACTGACTCTAGAATCTTCTTTGTTGTACAACCATTCTGCGTTCCACTATTTAATTGAACCTTGCGTGGCTGCACTGAAATGCTGGTGAAAAGCGTGGGCCTTGCTGGCTCTGCGCCAGTGACTAGACCACCTCCCCAAATTGTAACGGTTTTCGAGTCCCATGGTCCTGGAGGAGTCTCAGATAACAGACTGGAAGCCTTGATCCAAGAGGTACCCAACGTCGGGTATGAGACTGATCTTCCAAGGCCGACTAAATTGGACTCGGTACCGACTGTGTCACCCTCTTCCGCCTTATGTATACACATTACGTTGGCAGTAAACCGGTACTCAGAGCGCCCCCTTCAATTGAAATGGCATCGAATATATCCCTGGGTTACAGTGGAGCATCGTCCGGTGCCATATTCACGTTTTCAAACCCAATCCAACGAGATAAATCCAGAGTGAGCCATGATGTGACCAAGTGCGTAAGTTAAGAACATAGGTACCTAGTTTTCGAGGAAATTCAAATGAAATAAAGGAAGGGATGACAGCTCAACACCAGCACTTATAACGGCTTTTTATCTTGAACCGCGAGGGTATCGGACATGTTCTCGGGTGACGGAGAAGCCTCCCGAGTGCCATCCAAACCATCAACTCAACCTCTAAGGCCAACACAGCGTTGGACTTGACAGATGGTGCTTCCTTTCCCCCGCCATATTTAAAGGCAGCTGGTCTGCAGCAAAGTCCTCTCTGGTTTCTGATCTCTACATGCTCTTCACTCGTCTCAGACTGCTTCTCACTTACACAAATACTCCAAAGACATCACGCTCTCCATACCAACTACTTCTCTCCTCATACTTCACTCCACACTACAGTCAAGATGTTTGTATTTGCCGTTTCCAGGTCCCAGATCTTGTCTGCGGACAAGCTGGAGGAGTTGAGATACAAGGCCAAGATGCAATACTACCAAGCCCATGTCCTCGACCTCGCATTCTGCGACGTTGATCTCGAGGACCACATCAATGGCTTCATTGAGGGATACTACAGGCAGCAGATCAGCGCTACTCCATCATCATCTTCAGTCTCGCTCGCCTCAGATGACGCTTCAACGAAGTCAAAGTCTAGGCTGAGACGCCTTCTTCACCGAATCACTGGGGAAAAGCTCTAGATGAACAGTCTGCTTTCTCTCTCTCTCTCTCTCTCTCTCAGCGACCTGAAAAATCACACATACACAACTACGGCCTGCTTAGAGTACGCCTATCGGGCTTCATACTCTCTCCATTCCGTTGAAGAGTTCTGAGATGAGTTCTCAAGGCCTCACAAAGGGTCGATGTCATGCCCACGGGATCGTGAACATTAGAACATGACATTGACCCTACAAAAAGGGTTCGTATCCTCCAAACAACGTGGGACCTACCCGCTCAGAGCATGCTCTACCATCTCTCGGAGGCTCACGAACAATATTGGGGAAGATAATAACCTCGAGGATCATCACTTCAGGGACTCCCAGTCGGCCGTCTCCCCCGATCACCAACACTCGAGTGCAAGGTATCGGTGTGTCCGGAGCTAGGGTTTAACGGCTGGAAGAGCCCAGCACTTCTGTCGACTTCGTTATGCTGTCAACGTCCCTTGAAGTCTGCGGGAAGAAATCATTCTCACGCAAGGTCGTACTAGTTAAAGACATCTCCGAGGAGCAAGTCATATGCTGGAACACTTGGAGCACTTGCACCGCCACTGGTTCTACAACTATTACCACTGCTACTACTGGTATACATTTCAGCAGGGCCTATGGCCTTCCAGCTGGCACGAAGCTCAATAATCGTATATTGAACTGCGCATACCTGGATATATGGAAGGAAGAAGAAATTGGCGAAGGCCGTCGATTCCTCCAAAGTGGCAGGAGGTAGAAGAGCTGTTTGCAAGGCCCATACATTCTTACAGTTGCATCTCTTTCTACCAGCATACAAACAACTAGCACCACCACTACTATGGTGAATAGATCATTAGAACGGCTATTGAGTGGGCTTCTGAATAAGAAAGATGGGAGTCATTGTCACCATGCAGCGGTATAACTTCAAGCTTGACCCTGATCAGATCTCGGCAATGATCAAGGCTGCTGTCACGCAGTCCACCTAGCATAAGGCTAACATTATATACGCGGGGGATCAGCTTGCTCGCATGGCACCCGAGGGGTACAGGAGGCTTGATAAACCGGAACTACTCATAGTGTAATAAATTGGTTCCAAACATTTTAATTGTATGCTTAACCGTAAAACACACAGAGCCTGAGCTTCTTACCTTAAAGTATCTATCCCAAGCATGTGACATCTTCGGGATTGTAAGTTAAGTGCCTTGAGTGAAAGGCCAATGGGATAGAGGATCGAGACGCAACGATTCACTTACGCGGTACAGGGAAGCGCTATCCAATATCCATGCATTTCCCCGCCGCCCCGTTACATGCATGTGATGTCACCACGTCCCACACGCCACTACACGCGTAAATCAATCCCACACTTGAGTACGCGACGCGCCCTTTGAACTGAGCGAGGTCTAGTCTCCGAGGAATTGCGCCGACACTCTGCCTTTGCGTTCGAGTCAACGTTGCACACATTTGCTGATATCAACGATCTGCGCGCTCTGGAAGCGATCAAGCTCACGCCTTGCGCCTTGCGGTGACGGTTTGCACCATTATCCAACATGCCACCACAAACCCGCTCCAGCGGCCGGACTCCCGCCGCTGCTGACCCATCTCCCGATCGAGTCTATAAGTCTAGCAAGCCGGCAAAGCAGGCAAAGTTCCCGCATCGACGAACTGAAGTTCGAACGTACAGCGCTCGTAAACCAACCGCTCGCATTGCCAACCACCAGCAAAAAACCTTGACCCAGATGTTTGAGACCACGCGCTCGTCACCGCTGCGCCTTGACCTATCCGACGAGGAGGAGGAGCCTAAGCCTAGGAAGAGAAGGAGAAAGACCATGGGGGACGAACCGACGCCAAGCTCATCCTTTCACACCCAAACGTTGACGCAGATGTCGCGAAGATCATCCGAGAAATCAACGGCAGAAGAGGAAGAGGAGGAGGACGTATGGCAATTCCAGCCTTCGGACGATGAGCTTGAGAAGGACCCACCAGTGCTGCCTTCCGGCAACGATAAGGAGAACCAAGTGCCTGGTAAGAAACAGTCGAGCAAACCGCCAAGCAGGACACCCTCCGTCGTTCCGCAGACGCCAACAAATAAACGCGTTATTTACGAGATTCCATCGTCTGTAGGCAGCCCGCTCACCCCGATGCTGGCTAGGTACAGCCCGGCGCCAAAAAGGTCTCCCTTGAAAGACAAGTCTACAAACACAATGTCACCGATCCCGACGCTCACAGCATCCGTCAAACGCCCACGAACTCTTACAGTCCAGGATTCCTATGCGACGACCGGCAGCCAGGGCTCTAGCCAACTCGTATCTCCCAGCAAAATGCCACTGCAGCCCACCAAAAATGTTCGCTTCATCACGCCCCATCCTACAGCCAGTCTAGCTCCCATGGAAGAAGATGAGGAAGCGGAGGGAGAGCGCGAAGTCAGCCCATCCCCTCGCAGGCCGCAAAGGTCGCCTTTGGTTGAAATTGCAGATTCTGAGGATGAATTCGATGATCTTGAAATCCTGGACGAGGAAGCCGAGGGGTACGATGCCGTTGGCGAAGATACACAATTTCAGATGGACCAGGTTCTTACTTCTTCCGAGGAGGAGGTGGCCTCCAAAGAAGCGTCTCCTATGGAGGAAGGCGACTCTGATAAGGAAAACGTCGCCCCTGCCGCCAAAGAGGATAATGACGATGATGACGAAGAAGATGAGGAGGACGCGACGGTGGTTCTATCGAAGCCATTTGTGTTTCCCAAGTTGTCACGGGAGGATTCGGACCGCAGAGAGACCGTGGAGGTCATCACGTCTTCACCAGAGCCTACACACGACAGTGGCTCTAGCGTTCTTAATACAACGAGCAGGGAAACCAACGACGAGTCCGTCTCCCAGACAACACCCACACCGAGTCAGAAAACCCCCAAGGCCAAAGGGAAGCCTGTTGTCGAGACACCAAAGACCCCTTACACCCAAGGAGTGGAGAGCCAGCGGCTACCTTACAGCGTCATTCACGGCATGGGCCGTCAGGGAGATCGCACCGACATTTTTATTTCCATACATCCCGAGCACATGGAGGCTATCGTGGCTGGCGAGAAAAACCACGAATTTCGCAACTACAAAATCCCCCACACTGTCACCCGCATGTGGCTTTACGTCACGAAGCCTGTTGCGGAACTGCGGTACATGGCATGCTTCAGCGAAGCCAAATCGCCTGGTGAGATCGACGAAGATGGGGTCGGCAACGCAGAGTTCAATCAGAACAACTCATCCAAGTTTGCGTATCATCTAAAGAAGGTCTTCCAGCTAAACGATCCGATGTCGTTACAGGAAATGATGGATATGGACTGGCTTCACGGGCCACCGCAGAAGTACAACTACGTGCCGCCCGCAGTTGTCGGACAGTTGATGGCCAACCTGCGCTGCTGCATTGTCGGTAATGACGAAGACGAGGACGAGGAAGCCGTACCGGAACCCGAGACCGGCAGGAAGGAGTCTTTGCCGGCAGCCGGAGGTCCGTCAGAGGATCAGACGGTCTCCCAGGAGCTCGCCGAGCAACTCCGAAGCGACATTGAGCACTCCACCCAGCACCACTCCTCCGACGCAGACCTGCTGGTGCCTTCAAGCCAGACCCCAACCAGGAATCGCGGCGGCCGCGGCGGTCGCAAGTTCGGCACGGAGCTCCCCCAGTTCACCAAGCCGGCTCTGCCCCCGACGCCCCTCAGCCGCCCGCCCAACCCAACGCCGCGGCGCGCGGTGCGGCCCTCCCAGGCGACGACGGCCAGTCAGGCTTCGAGCCCCTCTCAGTCGCCCGTCAAGTTCAGGTCTGCGCCGCGGCGGCCGACGCGCTCAAATAATCATTCGAGCCTGCCCATCTTTGTGGACGACGAGGACGAGGACGACAGTCCCGTCCACCTGCCGCCGGGGACGTTCCAGATGGATTCCTCGCAATTGCTGTCCAAGAGCCAGATGCTGCCTGAGAGTCTGCTGCGTGATGACGGCGGCGACGACGACGACATTATTGTGTTTGATTCAGATCAGGATGATGAGCTGTAGGAGCTCGGATTCAGTGTGCCTTTGCGTTGCTTACTACTTGATTGTAATTCGAAGGGGGTTGCGGTGTTGTTGGTATTTTTCATTTTCAAGCGTTGGAGTTTGGATTAGCGTCGGCCGGCTTGCGAGGCTTTGGGACATGGGCAATAAAGAATGGATACAATGGCTGGGCTGGGCAGGTATGCAATGATTGTTATTTGAGAGCACGAATATTGCTTCGCCATCAGTGGTAGAATTGAGTCTGCTTGACGTTTTGCTCGAATCCCCCTCTGAACTACTACTCCATGAGCCACTCCTACATGATTACCCTTGCTGCCGGGAGGTCAAGGGAGATCGAAAAGGATTGCTCGCCTCTCTGTTGATAAACGTCCTGGCGAACTGTAGTAAAGGCTTCCGGAGTCGGCGTAGTGGAAGCGGGCGCAGCAGGACTTGATGCGGGGGGTTAGCTATGGGTGCCGTATTCTGCGAGGATACGGGCACCTAGGTTGATATCTTTAAAGGAGGTGTAGTCGATATTGTTGTGGTTATGGTTAGAGTATAAGGGGAGGGCGGGCGTTACAGTCAATATAGCTAGGTGTAATAGGTATTTAAGTTATAAGAGGGCCGTTAGATCCCAGAGTTATAACTTCGGTTAGAATAGAAGAGTAAGACTCCTCCTCTTCTTCCTCTTCTTCTTCCTCTTCTTCCTCTTCTTCCTCCTCTTTATTCCCATCCTCCTCTTTACCCCCGTCCTCCCCTTTATCCCCGTCCTCGTCCTCGTCCTTATCCTTCTCTCTAGCCTTCTTATATAGGATTAGTATTGGGAGCGTATACTTACTCGAATACGGCCTTGGGCTTGCCCAGGAGACACGGGTCGAAAGAGTACTTATAATGACTAAGGATGCGATCCCTTTAACATATTCATCCCATCTACAACGATACAGAACAACCGAAGCCTGTATATACCCCCTTACAACCGTTCCAGTTACTAGCCAGACGGCGCCCGTCTAGGTCGACGGGTCAGGTCAAACTGGCTAGGTAATGGATTGGTTCATGGTTAACAATCAATTATCTACACCCACCAGCCTACTCGACGACAGGCTTAGCAAGAGTACCCGAATTCGAGACCTAGCATGAGCACCAAGAGATGTAGCTACACCGGCGGTGAACTCTTTTTTTTTTCTAATCTCTTTGTGTGTTATTTAGTAGACCTTAATTCAAAAATGGTCAGTTTGTTCACACGACCTATGGACAAGTGCATCACTCATCCCAACCTCACCTGCCGCCACATCCTCAAACACTCCTGCAAATCAACACCCACCGACCCCTCCGCCGCCCCGCCGACGTCACGAATGACAGCAACAAGGACACTCGCGAGCGCAAACATCTCAAGCGCCTTGGTGCTCTCCCGCAGCGCCTCGAGGTCCGACTTACGCATCCCGCCGTTGTCGGCCCAGGCCTTCCACGCGTCGAGAACAGCGCAGAGGGCGGAGGCGAAGGCGCCGTCGAGGAGCATGCGGTGCAGGAGGCCCGCGGCGACGGAGCGGAGGGTGAGGGTGGTGTCGTCGGCGGTTGTCATTGATAAGTGGCCTTGCTGCTGGAGCCAGGGGAGGGTGTGGGTTGCTACGAGAGCGGCGTCCCATTTGGGGGATTGGATTGCTTCGTGGGCGCGGGTTTCGCGACGGCGGGCGTCGAGGCGCATTCTGTCTCGCACTGCGGGGTTTTCGATATTAGTCCAGTACCTTTCAGTCAGGTAGATGGGGGGGAAAGGGAAAGCCTACCATCGTCCATGTGCTGATCAGACTCCTTGCGCATCCGCTCCCTCACAGCCTGCTCCCTCCGCACCGGATCCATCTGCTGCTCAGCCGCGATGGCGTTCATCTGATCCCGCATCCGCCGGTGCAAGAGATCGAGATTATCCCGCGTGTCGTTGTGCGAGCTCGCCCACTCGGGCGTCTGGGAGCCGTCGACGACGCCCAGGACCTCGAGCACGCCGCAGGGGACGGAGGAGCCCCGCGCAAAGGCGAGGACGTCATCTGGGATGCGGTAGTTCCAGAGGATAGTCGCGCTCGAAGTCCCGTAGGCCGTGGCGGCGCTGGCGAACCACGTGCCGGCCGTGTGGCCTGGTCGGATGCGGACGTGCTCGATGTAGAGGCTCGTTGAGGGGTGGCCTGGTGTTTCTGGGATGGCACTTATGAGGCCGTGGGAGGAGATTTTGCAGGCTATTGGGTTTTGGGCGTTGGATATTGCGGCGTGGGATATGCTGGCGACGGAGGATGACGGAGATACCGTCTTCTTCTTGATGCTTCCGCTGCTCGTTTCTGGCTCCGCGTTGGCCCCGTCATTGTCGCCCTTCTCATTATCCTGCTCAATGGTTGTGGCTGCTGGACTAGGCAGTGGTAAGAGCCGGACCCAGTACGGGGGTAGAGACTCATGGCTCCTTGTGGTCCAGTGCGAGGACCAGTTTACAGACAGCGAAAGATGACCGTCAGAGTCGTTCAGGGGCGCAATGGTGAGGGCTTTATGTTGTCCATCGGGACTCTTCATCAGGGTACACCCAACGGGAGTCCACAGCCCGGTGCTCCTAAGCAGCCTCCATCCGTGAGCGTCGGGAACGGCACCGAGGTCCAGAAGATAGCTAATCAGCTCGTCAAAGGTGACATCGACCTGCGGTTGCCGCAGCTGGTCTGCGTATTCGACCCTCTGCGTCTTGAGGCCAATGGTGTTGGTCCGCCAGTTGAAGGTCGTCCAAGTGCCACCGGGAATGGAGGATGGGTGGCGGGCGAGAGACCAGTACTCGTCGCGGTGATCGAAGCGGTCCCAGGGCGTGACGGCGTAGCGGGGGAGGTCGACCTCGATGACGCGATTTACGACGTCGGAGCGAGTGAGGGCTGTCAGGCGGGCATGACGCAGCATACGCTTGATTCGAGATCGCGCGGCAAGTGTCGCAATGGTGTTGTAGAGGATTGGGAGGACACCGAGCACGGCAAGAGGAACACCAATGTAGGTGATGATGTCTGTAGGTGTTGTACCCGAGTCGGAAGACATTGCGCTGAGTAGAGACCCCCGTATCATGAAGCTTTTGGGCTATTAGGCAAAATGAGAAGATATCTCACTACGACTCAGATATGAAGACAAGCAATAGCTGCCTTGTGGAAACACTACAAGCGCAAATATCTAACTGCGAGAGAGATAAAGCTATTGCTTTTCTGTGAATAAAAAAGTCATTGGGAACTACCCCTGACCGATGGCCTTCAGCCGCATGGTTTTAGGAAGGCGTTGGCGATGGCTGATCACCAACCTTGCCTGTTTGGTCCTAAGTCGTTCCGTGTGCCTGTCGTCCTTGCGGCTATTGTCTTCAAGTGCCGGAGACTTAGGAATCGGAGTTTCTTTGTGAGATACACATCTTATAACTCATCCGATGGGATGTCTTTGACAATATGGAATTGACGTAAATGAAACAATAGTAGAAAGCTGAACAGCAGTGTTCGTTGGCTGACAGAGTGTAGCAAATAAATGACTTTGATTCGTAGGACCTCAGAGGATCGATTTTCTCAAGGCTTCCCGAATCAAGCCGAGCACAGGTTGATGGAATGCCGAAGGATGCAAGTACCTTGCTTGCATGAGCTCATGCAGGTTGCTGACCTTGAGGCACATGAGTGATGACTCTTCGAGTCGAGACGAGAGCTTCCTCGGCTGGAAGATTGTCTAGAGATGATGCGCCGAGCCGATGATCTCCATTGAACTATCCATCTCTTTTGGTTCAATTCAGGGCATCTTGAGCAGAGTTGAGTTTGTCTGTGCATTATTCATGAGGCTGTCCCGCTGTCAGCTCCTAGACACGATGAAAATGGGACGAACAAGCCAATAGCCAGGCGTGACCACTGCTGGTAACACGGTATTATGAGAGACCGTCTGGGCTGCACCTGGGTGTGTTGTTTGTGATGCCGTGCTGACAGCTTGCAGGTTATTGAGCTGGAGTCTGGAGATGAAGACTTAGGTGGAAGAGGTGGTGAGGAGGAGGAACCTTGGTCTTGTCAGCCCCAGACCCCGGCCGCTGGTCGATCCCGCCAGCAATGGAACCTGGAAAACTCCCCGCGGGCCGCGTGTTCCAGGTTCCCTGTACTCCGTAAGGTATTCGTAGAGCACCACTGCAGTAGGCTGGACGCCCTGTTCGTGTGGACAGTGGAGTGGACTTGATGTTAAATTAGGTAACCCACGGGCAATGGGGCAGGCGTTCGGGGCCCCGTAAGGCCTGTGGGCGCCCGTTGACACCAAACAATGGCGCTAAATGCAGGGGCACGTCTGCCAAGCCGCTATCCGACGGGGGACTGGGGACCTTCAAAACCGACAACATTCCTCCCTCACTTCCATCGCACTTGTTGCATTCCACATCCGAACACCACACAACACCAAACCACACTCGCTCGTATTGCGTCACTCTCGCTATCAACACCGAATCGCCTCGTCTCGGCTCGAATCGACAACAACTTTGGCGCCCGCGCATCGTCTCTGCTCCCCCTCCCGACGGCATCGCCCTGAGCGAGAGTATGCGCCGAGGACACGATGCGGGACATGTCACCATGCGCCTCTTCCACTCCGTCCTCGCCGTCGCCGGCCTGCTCTCTGCCTTCGCCAATGCTCAATTTCCTTCCACCTCGGTCAATCTCACAACAATCACTTCGCCCGTAGACGGCAATGTCACCATTCGCTACAAGACACCTAAGGGTGTCTGCAAGACCGCCTACGAGACCCAGCAACAGTACACAGGATGGATCAACGTCCCCGGTCCTTACCCAGCAAACATGTTTTTCTGGTTCATCGGCGCCCGCGAACCCACAGAGGCCATGACCATCTGGCTCAACGGCGGCCCCGGTGTCAGCTCTCTCTTTGGCATGTTCACCGAGGTCGGTCCATGCGAGGTCATTGAGAAGGGCCTAAATCAGTATGAAACTGTTGCTCGAGAATGGGGATGGGACCGCGCTTCCAACATGCTGTTCATCGACCAGGTAAGCTCCTGGCAACTACTGGTCCAGAAAGTACTCATTGGCAACGTGCTAACACTAGCCAGCCGAACCAAGTTGGCTTCTCGTATGACATCGCGACCAACGGCTCCATGGATTTGTTCAACGCGAATCAGTCGAGTCCGCCTCAGCCAGTCCCCAATGGACAGTCCCCCGCAACGTTTCTTAACGGCACCTTCAGCTCACTGAACTCCAACAACACGGCAAATACCACAGAGACGGCTGCGTATGCGATATGGCACATGCTTCAGGGCTTCTTGGGCGCATTCCCTCAGTACAACCCTCCAAACAACAGCTCTCTGGGCATCAACCTTTTCGCTGAGAGTTATGGCGGAAAGTACGGGCCTGTCTTCTCTGATGTGTGGGAGAAGCAGAACGAGAGACGGCAGAACGGGACGCTGTCTGCCAACAACACGCTCGAAGTCCACCTCACGTCCCTAGGCATCGTTAACGGCTGCATCGACGATCAGGTCCAGGCGGAATTCTACCCGGCCATGGCTACCAACAACACGTACGGCTTCAAAGCCATGAACGATGTGCGCGCAAGCCTGGCCAACGGCAGCTTGTACACCTCGGGCGGCTGCCTGGACTTGATCAAACAATGTCGCACTGCCGAGTCCGTCTACGACGCCAACAATACCGGCGGGGTGGATACAGTAAACACCCTGTGCTCCAGGGCCTATCAGACCTGCACTGAGAACGTCGTCATGCCATACTCCGAGTCCGGCCGCAGTTGGTATGACATTGCGCGCAAGAACCCGGACTCGTTTCCGCCTAGTACGTATCTCGAGTACATCAACACCGCGGGTTTCCAGCAGTCTATTGGGTCCGTCGTCAACTTCACGATGACGAGTCAGGCTGTTTTTTCCGCCTTTGCTGGCACCGGTGACTACATGCGAGGACCTTTGATCCCGAAATTGGCCGGTCTTTTGCAGCGCGGTATCCGTGTCGCTCTGATCTACGGTGATCGTGATTACATCTGCAACTGGCTGGGCGGGGAGGCCGCATCAACGACCCTCGCTTGGCAAGCTAGCGCCGTTTACGGACGGAACTTCAGCGCCGCCGGCTATGCACCTATCATCGTCAACGACTCGTACATTGGCGGTGTCGTGAGGCAGTTTGGAAACCTATCCTTCAGCCGCATATATCAGGCCGGCCACTCGGTGCCAGCCTATCAACCAGAAACCGCGTTCCAGGTCTTTGCGCGTGTCATCATGGGCACGTCCATCTCGACGGGCGATCAGGTAAATCTGGCCAACTACAATACCTCTGGCGATGCCCACGCCACGCACACGGACAAGTTGCCGGATTCGCCTGCTGCCACCTGCTGGCTGCGCTACATGCAAGCGTCGTGCAGCGACGAGCAGGTCAGCATGCTCCAGCGCGGCGAGGGAACAGTCATCAACGGTGTGCTGTACAGTGCCTCGAGTGACTGGCCTTTGGCCACCGAGGCTCCGACTTCTACGCAGCCTGCCGCATCCACATCGTCTACGGTGCTTACGGGACTGTTCACGGCGACGTCGACACCAACGAGCGGTAGTGTGACGAGACAAGCACCGGGGATGGCTCTCGTAGTTTTTGTCACAATTTCGGTTGGTGCGTTCTTGCTCGGTGTGACGGGAAATTTCTGATTGCAAGCCATCAAAAAGCTTTGGAGCATCATGTACGTGGCAAAAGCATTATACTTGCATCTGTGGTTGGGCAACTAGAAAGCATGTGGACGGCCTTGGGAGTCGTCTTGGTTGGGGCGTTTCTGGGCATTTTGGATGTGATGGAGGAAAACATAAGAGGGGACTAAAAAAAGGAGAGAGGCACTGCAGATATGTACTGGATGTGTTTTTGATTCGTATTGGTTGAAGACTTAATGATACCCCCCCCCCTTAATGATAGTTGGAATACAAAGCAGTAAACGTGCTTCTTGACAACGATGATGGGGTGTTTCAAGTCGCGTCTTGGCTGAGCAGATGCGGGAGAGAAGAATGCCTATTAATACTGATGGACATGAAGTTGCGGACGCACAGATTTCTTTCATACCGTTTGCTATCTGTAGCAACTCGGAGAAGCAGCTCGTATGGCCTGATGGTAAGAAATGGGCACTTGAAAAAGACTGGAGTGAAGACACATCAGGCCGAAAGGCCACTTCGCATCATGGTCATTGGGCCTTCAGCGACATGCCTCGTACAGTTCACGAATGGAATCAGCAGGTCACATCGTAACAGCAGGGTAAACAGAGGTAGTGAAGAAAAATGGGTATCTTGTATTGATATGTAGATATGAAAACATGCACGGCATAAACCTACCTTCGCTTGCATCATTGACCAAGTATTAATCATAAGAAAATCTGACGACTTCAGTTAGCCACTGTTTGCAATACACCACGACTCGTAAACCAAACAATGTGTGAAGCGTCAAGAATCAGTAAGGGGCCTTGTCAAAGGCAGTGTCATCAAAGCATATGGCTCAGGAGACCGTCGTGATATGTTATGATCATCACGTAGACGCGGGAAGGTGGGTAAGAGGGATGAAGATGAGAGGTGGGAAAGAAGCTTACCATTTGATGCAAGGTCGTATGACATGGCAAAGGCCGAGGGGATGTGTACACCACGTGGATCTGGAAGGTGAATGTTAGCCACCTGTGTTCACAATTGTTTCCCAGATAGAGTGCAAATGTGAAGTGTTCGATCAGAATGACTGGTAGTCAACGTGTCTCAGCTTCGCCGTTAGGCTCTGACATATGCTTGTCTTTGGTTTATCGTTCATCAGGAGAACGGAGCCGTGGGTGGCTGGAGGGGTAGATGAAAAGGTAAGAGCTTACCACTTGAGCCATGTGGTGGCGCGCTTCTGGACAACCGGTCAAGCCATATCAGAGTAAACTGTAATCTTAGAGACGGTCAGCGATGTTCATGCTCATCAGTCAAAACGTGGTGTAATGAAGCCAATTCAGTCGTTGCATGAATGGTATAAAAAGTTTGTATCCGCATTGGAAAATCCAAATCAGACTCGTCATCTAAGTTGCTCATCAGGAAGGCATGGGGGGCAGCAAAGAAAAATGTAAGACCTACCATGACTGGACCGGAAGAAGCGGGTGCGTCTATACTGCACTGGCAGAAGACACGGAGAGAGTGTATAGCAAAGCGGAATCCATTTCGACACTGTTGTAGACGGGTCAGCCACCTGAAGAGCAAGGTGTATTCCCGACAAGTTGAGTGTTCCGATCGAAATCAGTGGGCGAGGTTTTCTAGGCCTGCCGCAAAGTGGCTTGTCTGCTCATGGCCGAGTCCCATATGGGTACTCTCAGAGCCCAGTGCCGCTTCATCATGTAATGATAGGAGGGCGGGAAAGGAAGGAGTCGGTATGTACCTTGTCGATTGGATCTGAGATGACTGATTTCCATGTTAGCGTGAGGTTCGGTGAGAACGATAGCATATATAGAAAGAAGGGTAGTGAGATCGATCAGAAACAGCCAGTTGTTTTCAACAAGAGTGTTCAGCCGGTAATTCCAACTGTGCAAAGCACAAAAAAACTAATCATCAGGAGATCTCGGGTGGGGAGGGCGTGAAGAAATTGAAGTGTACCGTACCTTTTGTCAAGCCATCTCGAGACAGCCACGCAGCCTGATGATGCCGGCGTCAGATTGAAATAAATCTGTCAAAGCCTGATTTGTTTGGTTAGCTACTTGCTCAAGCGAAGCGCGTAAGATCCAGAAACAAATTTGCGACATTGTCGTGTCCTATCAGACTGACGTGTAAAACAGAGGTTTCATTCCATTTAGGTCAAAGACTCTAGTTTGCGGTGTTTGCGTGTCATCACCAAGGATGGGGGGTGTTGTAAAAATGAAAGGCTTTGAAAAAGCGCGAGCGCGAACTTACCAGAGCGTGCGAGGCTACGCAGCCAATTTGCTGCGCGTTGCAGTATGGAAAGAAAGGATCGTGAAGTTGGGGTTGTCTGCGAGGGAAGAGTTTTAAAGGTGCTGGGAAATTTTGAGCCGCGAGTGGGGGTGCGAAGCTGGCGGTCGGCCACGACCCACTCAAGGTGTAGGTAAAGGTTCCTCACGTGTGTATTCACGTGTTAGCGCGAGCGGTCGGCGCGGATGGCCGGTCCCTAGTTGAAAGCTCGACGCGTCCGCCTAAGTCTGCGTCATGGATCCGCAGTGTGCAAGTCGAGGATCCCGGGAGACAAGAGACATTCAGCGATATCATCTTTCTTGAAACAAGTTCTAGAGACACTGAAAATAGCGTAAAATGCCTGAAATTGCTGAAGGTAAGACTGATCTGATGGAACTGAGAAAGGCGGGTTGGCTCATGTTCTCCCAGTCGCGCGGTGCGTGCACTTCTTGCGCCTCCATCTTGTAGGCAAGAAGATCGCCAAGGTCTCGGCCCCTGACGATGCCAATGTCTTTGGCAAAGTCGGCACCAGCGGTCCAGCCTTTGAGAAAGCTGTAAAAGGTAAAAAGGTTGTCTCTGTCGGAAGTCAAGGAAAGTATTTCTGGTATGTCTGCTCATGTCGATTGAACGGATGGCTCTTGACAGACACTCATATCATCTCAGGATCACATTCGATAAACCCCCTCATGCGGTGATGCATCTGGGCATGACAGGTAATGAGACTTGATCATTTCACAAGTACTCTGTATCGATACTAATACCATTCAGGATGGATTCACATCAAAGGCGACAAGACGGCTTACACAAACTATTACAAAAAGATGAAGGATGGCGAAGCAGACGTCTGGCCACCCAAATACTGGAAATTCCACATCGAGACCGAAGGCACACCCAAAGTCTCGGCCGCCTTCACAGACCCCCGTCGCTTCGGCCGTATCCGCCTCGTAGACTGCCCCGGCGCAGATATCCGATCCCACTCGCCCCTGAAAGAAAACGGACCTGACCCGGTCGTCGACGTCGATGTCTTCACGGAAACCTACCTCCGGCAAAAGATGCAGTCCCGCCACGTCCCCGTCAAGGCCCTCCTCCTGGACCAGAGCCACATCAGCGGCATCGGCAACTGGGTCGCCGACGAGGTGCTGTACCAGTCCCGGCTGCACCCGGAGCAGTACTGCGACACCTTTGACGAAGGGGAGATGAAGAGGTTGTACGAGACCGTGCGGTATGTCTGTCAGACGGCCGTCGATAAGCTCGGCGACTCGGACGAGTTCCCGGACGATTGGTTGTTTAATTATCGCTGGGGCAAGGGGAGTAAAGGCGCCGCGTCGGAGCTGCCCAACGGGGAGAAGCTTGCGTTCATCACCGTTGGCGGGCGGACGAGTTGCTATGCTCCTGGGAGGCAGAAGAAGACTGGTCAGGTTGTGCCATCGGCAAAGGAGGAGCCCGTAGAGGAGGACGATGGCGGCGGCAAGAAGCCCAAGGCCGCTGCCAAGAAGAAGAGGCCGGCGAAGGCGACCGAGAGCGATGAGGAGGAGGAGCAGAAGCCCAGCAAGAAAGCACGAGGTGCCAAGGGTTCCGCCCAGGCAAAGCCCACCACGGCGGCAAAGGTGAAGAAGGAGGAGACTCCCGAGCCCGCCGCCGAAGCACCGGCACCAAGCAAGAAGCAACGGGCTCCAAAACAAACTGTGGAGAAGCCCGCGGCCTCGTCATCCAAGACCAAGAAGGCTGCCGTGAAGAAGGAAGAGGCGGCTGAGAAGACAAAGGCAACGGCGGTAGAGGACACGGGTAGACGGAGGTCCCTCCGACTAAAGGGGTGAACATTCATATCTTATCGAAGTTACATCTCATATGAGTCCCCCTTTCTTGTGAATACCACAATTTCACCTCCACTAAATCCCCAACGTCCAAGTTCGCTTCACGGCTCCGACTCCACATCCGGGGGGAATGTTCCAAACAGCGCCATGAGATGCTGCGTCTCGTCGCGGGACAACTTCTTGCCCTCTTCGACCCCCTTGGCCATCATACGGAAGTCTACCGTGAACCGTCAGCTTTTTTTCACATCAACGTACCACCCATCGCAGGGGTTAGGGCTCGAGATTCTGGGCCTTCCGAGTACTTACAATCCATGTAATATCCTGAACGCGTCCCATATTAGCCCACCTTGCCATGATGATATTCACAAATAGCGTTCAGCGAAAAAATGACATACCTGGAGTAGACGTCATAAAGAACTCCGCAGGATCTGTCTCGGACGGGTTGGAAAATGTGTGGATCGCCCTCGGCGGCACGACCATCAGCTGGCCCTCCTCGGCATCCACGTTGCCCTCGGGCGTTGAAAACCGGATCGTTCCTATTCCCAGTAACATAAACAAACGTCAACAAGACAGACACTCTTTCATTCAATCTAAACATGAATAGTGATTCGATTCAAACAAATCAATAGGAAAAACCCCTAACAGCGATTTATTTCCCATGAACACTGCAGTGGGAATTGCAAGGCAGTAAAAAAACCCACCCTTGGTCACAAAAAAGCACTCGTCGTGGAACCGGTGCCAATGCATCGGCGGCCCGGACGTCGCCGGCGGAAGCTCGAGCGTCATACACCCGACGCGGTTATCCGTGTTGCTCCCGTCCTCGAAGATGTAAATCGTCATGGGGCCCAGCTTGAGGCACTCGCTGTTCTCCTTTGTGTAGAGCTTCACCGGTACAGGTCCGCGGAGAGGCATCTTTGATTTTTCTGGGGCTGGGTGCTGCCAACCTTGATTCTGCTGTATAGTACTTCTATTGTCGGTATGTCGGGGTACTAAGTTGCTTCCCTCTTGTTTTGGATCCTGACGAAGTTACCGTTGGAAATGAAAAAAGATTGCGAGAACCGGACCGAGTAGAAGAGGAAGACTATAATATGACCGCACTGAACTTTCGAGTATCAATCCGTGACATTCATCTGATGATACTGACAATCTCCCCCAAATGGACGTCCGGCGCACCTTAGAGGAGGGGAAGGAGGTTGGCGAGGTCTAGCAGTCAGCTTAGGTAAGACTACCAAACTACCTACTTACTTATCGGATCTGCCGTGTCTCTCTGTATATGGACATCCGAACTAGTCGGTTGAGGCGTCTTCCTTTGTACATTAGTCTCGAAACTCATCCGGAAAAAGCAACGAGGAAGCAAGCAGACACACGCAGTTTGCGGTCGCACTGCATGTTGAGAGCGAGGCCTGGTGAATTGAGCTTGCCATGCCACGAGCTGTCGACCTTTTTTCTAGCTTGAGGTGGGTTTGAGTTTAGCAATATGTGCAAGTGTCTCACCGGTCTTTGATGACGCCAATGATGGTCGAAAATGAGGGGGTGTCTTCAAGTAAACCTCTCAAGCTTGTTGAATTGTCCTCGACGCAGCCCTGATTATCGGGCATTGGTGTCGTGTGCGGTGTTCGTGAATGCATTGTCACGATGCAGACATAATCATCACTGTCGTTAAGCAACCAGATATTGTGTTCCCAAAATACAACGCCTGTAACTCAATTCGCCGAGGGCCTTGGGCCGTCTGCTATGCTATAACATTTCATCATGATCAAGATATCATGTTGCGGACATGATAGAAAATTCCCAAGAAGCCCCCCGTTGCAGTCAAGGTCAGTGCCGACTGTCGATAATACGCCGTCCCAAATGCTTTGAAGCTGGTTTTCTCAATTCGCTTTCCCCTGCCATCCATCAACTCCAATGAGGCAGATGGTAATAATGGTCTTGATGCACCTAAAAGTGACTCCAGATCTCCATGCAGTAGTAGTAATTCGCTTTTTTCATCGTTCTTCGTATCCTAGTAGAAAACGCCGCAGAAACACCCCAAAATTGAAAGAAATAGAAAGATCAAACATAGTCGTATCGTTTCCGAGGTGCGTGGGCTCTAATTCGCATGCGTGTAAAGTGGGTATCGTAAATGCCTAATAGCAGATGCCTCGCTCGTAATGAAGTCGTGACATGGATTGTTGCCTGTGTAAAGAAAATGTTTCGTTGCCTTCGCGGCCAAAGATTCATAGGTACCGCTTGCGAAAAAGCGGAACAGCCAATCGTGTTTGCGTGTTTCGCGGTGCCAAAATTAATCCTCGCGTGCGACCTGGAAGCCGACGGAGTATCGGAAGTGCTGAGAGTCCCAGCGGACAGGAATCATGGTGAGGAGGTTGACAAAGGAAGTGCCGTCTTTCCTGAAGTTGAGAACGTCGGTCTGGAACTCGTCGTTTGCCTCGACAGCCTTGCGCATGCTCTTGACGGTCTCCTTGGGAACGTGCTTCCTGGCAGACTTCTTGCTGACCTTTCCGCCGGGGGCTTGAAGGAAGCGGCAGTTCTTGCCAAGAATCTCGCTGTTCTTGTAACCGGTGAGGATGCTGAAGTGTTCGGAAGCGTAGACAATCGGGCAATCGGGTTGTTCGAGGTCACAAAGAAGCAGAGCAACAGAACAGTCAATTGCGCCGAGTTCAACCTTGGGGTTGGGCCTTCCAGCGACACGGAGCTGATGTTTGTTAATTACCGTAATCGTCAACACCAAAGTTGAGTACTTACAAGAATGCTCATCATGTCAAACCCGCTGGGGCAGTAAAGCCCAGGGTACATGACGGGATCGGCAGCGGCTTGCGGTTGTCGCCAAGCACTGCGCTTTCCATGTGCAACTTGCTCAGTCTCCTCGGAGAATTGGTACTAGAAGGGGTGTCAGTACCGAAGCCAGCAAGCCTGTGAACTCAGATTCCCCAACGTACTTGCAGCGCGCAGGATTCCCACGGATTCATGGTTGGCGACATTTGATTTTGTGCGCGAAATGATAGAATGCGTTCCGTCTTTTGCGGTTGAAGATAGGAGGCCGGATATTGGAACTCTTGCATCGACATTGTGAAGGTTGGTAGAGCCTGAAGGCTGAATGTGATTATAAAGCGACGATGTGACGGGTGACTGGGAGGGAGCGGGATGTGTGACCGGGGGGTTTGACCGGTTCGAACAGCGAGAGAGCAGGGTTGGCGGTCGGTAGTATGGTACAGAGTATGGCGGTTAGGCGCTTTGCATTATGCGTATGTCTGGATGTGCTGGCAAGAAAGTTGATCGAGGGCTATGAGGGTTACTGCTTGATAGTTGCTATATCAAGCGTAAATCGTTGGTTGACAGAGTCAGGGAAGAAAGTGACAGGTCGTTGTGGAAGGACGTAAGGTCATCAAGCCAAGATATCGAAAGAACGGTACGTTGCTCACTGAAAGGTGCATCGGGTGGTGCAACAGACGTTATTAGGCAAACGTACAAAGTACACCTTGGGCAAATTTGGTGGCAGAACGGTAGGGGCTGGTTGGAGATACCGTTGTCCACCAGCAAGCGGAGCGATCGTTGATGCCGCAGGACTGATCGCGAGTCGATGCGTGGGACACGGTGATCGGGAGCAGCAGTGTGGAGAAGGGGGTGGGTTTAGACCTCGAATGGCCTCCCGCAAAGTTAAGGGTCTGGGTCTCTTTGGTGTCGAGTCCTCGGCGTCTGCTTGCTCAGGTGGTGAGCTTGGTGAGGTAAGCTCGGCAAGGAGGAGTCTTTGAGCTTTTGGGTGGGCAGAATAAACGGTCCTTGCTCCGAGTTGTTCGTAACAGAGCGAGCGTTGCCATCCAATCCTGGCAAGTATTTTGGTCGTCAGATTGGCCATTACATCAACGAAAGATGGCTGTAGGACCAAGGACCACCACCGCCAACAGGTCGGGCTCATGTCCTCGGTTCGTACTGCGTACTGCGTAGAGCTCTCACTTGAATGCTTACCAGGGGGTGCTCGCTTGGCCAGGTGCAGAATATCGTGCACACAGAGGAGTATGCGCTAATTGGGGAACCGTCTTTCGCGCGGGGTGAGGAATGATGGCGACCAGCGTCACCTCGTCATGTTTGGACGGCAGCGATGGTGCGGCGGGTGTTCGTACCAGAAGCCTAACAACCGGCAATGCCATCTACCATAGACTTGGGACGTGGGTGGGCGTCCCTGGTGTTAAGCTGTTGTCAACGCAAGCTCTCAGACAGGTTCGGGTCGCTATCGTTTGATCGATGGCATTGCTGCTTCCGGCCAAGTGCCGCTCGTTGAGGACAATCGGTGACGAACTGCATGGGCGCCCAGGGCGATGGCCGATGGGCGTGTGATGTGGGAGCCAGGGTGATGAGTCGGAGCGGAATCCGATGCTCAGATTTGCGTTTGGCCCAGCGATCACAGCGATCGCCGCAACGGATTTCCCATAATCTCGATCCCACTGGCATGGGCCCCTGCACCCATTTCGATCCCGCCTGGATGAGCATTTTGCTCACTTGTGGCATGTTTTGCCCATGCTGGCCTTACTGCGTACAACTTGGTGGTGTGGCAGTCCGGCCACCAGCATCGGAATCGGGCTTTTTTCTTTGCTGGAGAAACGTTGCTCAGAATCCCCTGGACGCCATCGAATTCTGACATGGGCTTTGGGGTGACAGGCCTCAACATTGGCATCGAGATGTGGTTGTGGTTCCATTCCCTCGTCATCTGCCTGGGAACGACCGAGTTCAATGAATCGCTTGCTCTTCTACACCACACAAAGCATACGACGTCTCAGGCCCCATACAAGACACCACAGGGCGAAAGTGCGCTCGGCTGGCTGGTGCGATGAGATAGACAGTAGATTGGATTTGGCCCTTTGCATCCCTATGTCTGTTGCTGCCCTGAAAGAATTGAAGGCAGGTTGACAAGGGCGCCGTCTGAGTCTGTGCTCAGCCAAGTAGCACGCATCGAGATCTCTCACTTTTTTCTGTCGAATTCATCCCCCCAGTCTCCGTTTTCCGGGAACTTGCCGGCAGCTTGTGGTTGGCCATTGAGAATTTGAGAGAGCAATCTATCTCGCTACGCAGAGCTAGTCCGGGCCAGATCTTTGAATGCCCCTTGATCAATCCAGCAGAAGGAATCGGCCGAGAGACAGGGAGTGCGACGGGGGACAATGGCGAGAGCGAAAAGGTGATTCCGGTCGTTCCACGAGCACACAACGGATCTGGATCATGGCGGAATGTTTGCTACGCGAGACTCGGGTGACTTGTGTCCTCTGGCATCTTCCACGCATTGGAGTTTGGCAGGCACCGGTCGACCCGACGATGCCCTCAATCCCAAGCATTCACTACCGATCGAGGTTTCCCAAATGAGCAGGCTGGCAGGGAAGTAGCTGGGCCCCGGATTGAAAGGTGTCTCTAGCGATCCAGCCATGTCTTCGATCCAAGTCCACATGCCCTTCCGGATGAATCCCCACTGCCGAGCTGAGCATGAGCCAAGCTGCATGCTCAATTCACCGGTGAGAGCCTGACAGCGGGGCAGCACATGCACCTTGCGTATTCATAGGGTAGAGAGAGTCCTCCATAGAGGTTTACTGTGCCTCAGTTGACAGTTTGACGTTTGGCAACGACCATCTCGATTGCACTCCTCGCTTTGCTGAAGCTCGTCGGGAGTGCCGCCTGACTCTCGACTCTGAGGCTCAACTGGGACAATCAAGCTCGAGCCTTGGTCTCGCCTCGTCTCGAATCCAAATACTCTGTCGCGGGTGTCGCTCAATCGTGGACAGAAACGCGATGATGCCAACGTGTGAACCGATCCGGCGGCAGGATGGGGTTCCAGAACTCTGGGGTTTGGCGGCAATCGGGAAAATCGTGCGGCATCGTCGCTTGCGGGTGAGGATCGCGGCGATGGGAATTGCAGGTGCCGGCTGGTGCCAGATGTACTGTACGATACAGGACTCCCTACTGAGTTGGAGCAGGTGCGGGTTTTCGCTTACACTTCCTTTGCTCTTTCCTTTTTGGCAATGATTCAACTTGATGTTACCTTTACGCCTTGCCGGTAGTTGAGCGGACTCCGCTCTTCCAGATTGGCTTACAATACCTATCCAAGAGCTTCATAACAAAACCTTATTAGACATTCCTAACTGTCTGTCACGATGTGTCGAGGATTTCTGAACTAACGCTTCTAGATACGATACTCCCATGTGATGAGATATTGTTTGGTCAACTGTCGTAAATACCATCTAAACAATGCCGCCATGTGAGCAGTGGCTCCTGAATACCTTTGACAGTCAGGCTGCCACCATACGTAGATACACATTCAATCCCCAGAATCCGAGTATACTGAAGAACAACATACGAATATCTACACAAAGACTTGAGGGTTATCATCACCAAGAGTCTAAGCTTCGGTGAACTATTGCAAAACACGATTACTCGTGTCGCCTCTCATATCTTCTGTTGATTATCCACGTACAATCAACAAGTAATGTTTACATTGCCTTCTTCGACGCATGAAACTGAAGCCTTTTCCTAGACAGCTTGACTGGTAGATTGGAAAATTTTTGAAGACATTTGAAGATATTCCCCCGTCTCCTCAAAAAGCAAAGTCCTCAAATGCCACATCCTCGCCTTCCAACCACTTATTCAAAACCCTGAGCATCTCCGGTCCAGTACACAAAAAGTATCTCCTCTTGATACCGCCATCCTTCACATCGCCAGCCTTGATTCTCCTCGTCTCAACAACAGCCCCAAGCCCTTCAAACTCCCGTAACATTGCCTCCTCCGCCTCCCCAACCTCACCCGTAACAAACACCCTCAGCACACCAGCCAACCCAGGAATCCTCCCAACAACATCCCTAACCAGCTTCACATCCCCTCCCTTCACAGTCCACAATACCTTCATCCTTACCCCAGCTTCCAAAACACCACCAGCCTGCGCAATCAAAGGCGTAATCCCAACACCAGCAGCAACAAACACCTCTTCAACATCGTCGTCACCCTTCTTCCCCCTCCCACCCATCCTAAACGCCTCTTCGCCGCCGAACCCAAGCACAGGAACCTCCAACGGAACCCTCAGATTCCACCTCCACAACAAATTCGTAACCGGACCGTTCCTCCTCGCCGTAATCTCAAACTCCTTCCCTCCATTGTCACCAGGCGGGCTTGAAACCGTAAACGTCCTCACATAATCATCATTCAGGCTCTGTGGCTCGTCGTCGCGCATATGACTCCACCCAACATCCAGCTCCTCCGCAAAATCAAACGTGACGTACTGGCCCGCCTCCCACTGCGCCGCGGGCTCCAGGCTAAAGACGAACCGCGCAATCGTCGGCGTGATGATCTCGCGGCGTAGCAGCGTGGCCGTTCTTGTACTCTCCCCAGCCGAGCTCAGGACATGCTGCTGTTCGGAGAAGAGCGGTCTCACGGGCGGATTATACGGCGACGGCTCGAGCGGGGTGCCGGAGAAGGGTAGGCCGGACTGTACATAGACCGCGGCCGACACGGTGATTTTGACGGCGAGTTTCGTGCGCGGGAGGTAGTTTGCCGCATCTTGTCCTACGAGTATTGATGCTGATCCCGTGAGCTTTGCCCACCTCCAAGTGTTAGCCTTCTGGTCAATATGTGTGGGTGGTGTATATAGTGGAAGGGAGAATTGAGTAATACTCACGTAAAGTACGTCTGACGTCTCAAAGTCTGGTATCGCGATCCCGACCAAGGGGTTCAGTCTAAGGTTCCCCAGCGTCTGATATAATCGATTGCCGGAAACTATAAGCGCCCATGATTAGCCTTCCCGTCATAAATTCTCGATCCAAATGACTCAAAAAAAAAAAAAGGGGGGGGGGGGGGGTTGCAGCAAAACTCACATTCAGGATACACAATCTCCACGCCACCCTCACCGTTCCTCGCAACCCTCACAAACCCCCTTGAGCCTCCCCGATGGTTCGTATCCATACTGCTGCTATCACCACCGCTACCGCTACTACCGCCATCATCCCCTCCCTCCTCGTGTCCGCTCGTGAGGAAAAGCATATCCGCCCCGCGCACAACCTCCACAGCCTCCTCAGACAGCGGCAACTCCCGCTCCACCCTGCCCTTGACGAGCGACGCCCGCGGGATGACGTCCTTTTTGTTGAGGTACTTGGGGCAGTTTCCCAGACTCTCTTCGACGTGTACCGCGATTTGTACTTCAGAGGAGGCGGAAGGAGAGCTCCGGTCCTCAGCGGCAGCATCACCATCCGAGGGGAATGTAACAGCCCCGGCCACCATCCTGCCCCCAAACTTTACACGATCCCGCGTCGTGAGGTCGATGGCCAGCCCAGAGACGAGTTTCCCTCCATCCGGGCCCCTCCCAGGCTGGATAACCTCTTGCAAATGCTGCTCCTCCTCATGTACCTCACCTTCAGCCCCCCAAAGCGCCCTAAACACTGGATCATCAACAACGTCAACCACGCTCCTGAGACCAAGCACATCCTCCGCAATCGGCTTCGCCACGTTGCCCGCCTCCCCGCCCCATAACGTCGTCCAGGGCCGGCGTTCGGCATCGAGGGTGCCGAGGGCCAGGAGCGGGGCGGCGGCGATGCGGTTGCCGTAGGAGGGCGGGAGGCCCGCGGATGTGGGGTTCGCTCTGTGGCGGGGGATTTTGAGCTGCTCGTGGAGGGCGAGTTCGCCTTGGTGGAAGGGTATTGTTCTGCCTGGCATGGTGTTGGTGTTTTGGTGTGAGTGGAAGAGGTTTGAGCTTGTGAGGATTTGTGATGAGAGCAGTGTTGTTAGGAGGAGGGTGTAGTTCATATGAGATGTCTCTATGGGGAGAGTATTAGTCGCAAGTGATCATCCCGCTGTTTTCATGAATTGTGAGAATTGTGAGAAAGGCGGAAAGCTATCTCATCATTAGAAATCATCACCAACACCATGGGATGAATAATAAGCGCATCTCTGTGAGCCCTGGAGGATGAAATTGACATCTCCGGGTGACAAATCAAGCACCGAAGGGCGCATGTCGTGATCAGCGAAGGCGGGATTCCAAAGCTGACGGCCTGACGTAGGTTGACAGCTGGTGAAGACAAGTACCTGACACTGCCAGACTGTGCTAGGGGGTGATCACATCGGGGAAGCGGGTCCAAAACTTTAATTGCCTGCATTGGCGGCGTTGCGAGCTTGCCGGGGGCCCTGGCGCCGCGGGGGGCGTTAGTAAATACAGTGTCAAGTATAAAGAACATCGCAAAGGCAAATAAACGCAGAAAGTGTAAACATCGGATTGTCATCAATAGACTTTGTTATTCTTGAATTTCTAAAACTACAATTGGATGTTGGCGGTTTTCCTCTCTCTAGCGGCTCTTGGAGCACTTCTGTAGCCAGTAGACCCTGAAATTCCTAGTAGTACATGGACGAACGGAGAATGAAGCGAAAAGTTTCAGGGGGTATCGAAAGGATGGTCGTAAAAAGACGGAGGAGCAGCCTCAACCTCGGCCTCTACACCTTTGTATTTTCCTAGTAGGAAGAAAGTGTGTGAAAGAGGCCTAGACGAGGGCGAAGAGGAAATGACGAGAAAGGCCTTTCGTGAAATGTGCGCTTGTTCCCAGCGCAAAAGTAGACACCCCTTTTGAATCATAAAGACATTATGAAAAAAAGAAAATGCGGGACGTAGCCGCAAAGCCCTATAAGCGCACGCGATCTATGAGCCTCAGAAAGGAGCACGGTACTCCTAGTAACGCGGGTCCCTCTGAGATTCTACATCGTTATTGTAGCCGTATCCCGGGCCGCGAGGGCTCGGTCTCTGGCTCTGTGATGTGCCGGGACGGTTGAAGTAGTCGTCCTGTGGCCGGGGAGGCACGGGCGCTGTCATGTTCCGCGTGGGAGCATTCGGCGGGCCTCGCGGAGGAACCGGGCCAGTCGCACTCCGTTGCGGGTTGAACGGCTGGTACGCTTGGTACGGTGTGTTATTGAGTGGGCCGGGGCCACGGGGCATGGGTGCAGGAGCGCGGCTCGAGTATGCTGAGGGCGCGGGGCTGGCCCGTCCATTCGATTGGCTCGAGTAGTCGTCGTAGGTGCCTCTGGGCGCGGGCGTGCCACGGTCACTCTGGTAAGTGTTTTGTCTTTGCGATCTGAAGCTTTCTACCGATCGGCCAGTGTTGGATCTCACAGGCGGAGGGAAGGGAGGCATCGTATCGGGGGAGTATGTGGAGGGGCTCTCCGAGAAACCACCACGGAGGGAACTCTGTGAGTTGGTTTGCACGTGTGAGATTTGAGGCCGGAAGCTCCTCTGGGAGTTGGAAGTGCCAGGGCGCTGAGGAGGGTAGTTGTTCAAGTCCATGGGTGGCAGAGAAGGGGCCGGAGAACCTGAGCGCTGGTATCCAAAGTCGGCAGCGCCGCCAACAAGAGGTGCGCGCGACGAGTAGCTGGCAGTGGAAGTAGTGGTGCCCATTCTTGAGGGCAGGGGGCGTTTCTGGTCCATGGAGTTGAGCTCGATGCTGCCGGGGGTTCCAGGACGAGACTCGTAGGCGGGCAGTGTCGCAAAGGTATCGTTGCGGCCAAACATGGGCATCTCGGCCAATTTGTCTGGGTCTCCGACATTGGGTAAAGTCGGCAGAGTTGCCTGTCGCTCCAGAGGCAACTTTTCGCCGTTCTTCTTGGCCGCCTTCATTTCTGCCTTTCTCTTGCTTTCCTCCTGTCTCGCTAATGCCTTGTTGACCTTGACTGTCACAATCTTCATGAGGGCCTTGGTGACCTTGCGCTCGCAGTAGCCTGAGAGACCTCCATCGGCCTTGGGGATCCAGTGGAAGAGGAAGAAGACGTAGAAGAGGACGGCCATAATGAGGTAGAGAGCGGAGAAGACCCAGATGAGTAGGGTGAAGACCATACCCGACAGGATGAGAGCCTGCTGGTAGTCCTCCGTGGCAAGCGTCTTGATCTTATCAAAGAAACCTAGCAGGGAGCCTTCGACGGAGACTTCGTGAACAGCAAGCTTGGCGTCGTAGACAGACTTGAGAGTCAATGCGTTGACGACCTGACGAGGTCCGGAACAGACCAGTACACGAATCCAGGCTACATAAGATTAGTAACGACCCCGATGTGAAGGTAGGATTGGCTTACATTGAAAGCTGAAGTAGGTGAACAAAGCAATGTACTCGGCTCCTTTCTTGCTCTTGGTGAGTTCGGCAAAGACCAAGAAACGCTTCCAACCCTGGCCCTTTCCGAATCGGATACTCTCGAGGCGAACGGCAATGGTGTCGAGGTAGCATTCAGCTACGTTTCCTCGTTTCATAACGCGGTGCGCGCGGAAGTGCTCGAAGGCGAGATTGACGAAGGAGGCGATGATGGAAATGGAAAAGATCCATTTTGAAATCTTGAAGTCGATGGCGGGGTCTATCTCGGAGGACCAGCGGTCGAAAGCCAGGAGGTTGACGGCAGTGAACATATCAACGCCATAGACGGCGAGGGAGATGATCAACATGAGCCACAGGTAAAAGTACGCGAACGGAGTGAGGCATCCTCGTGACTTGAAGTCGTTGAGGTTCTAGACAGGTTAGCACCAGAAGGATATTGTACCGTGCGAGGTCTACCTACGATGTAGTCCCATTTCTGCTCGGCACGTTGGTCAATGACCTTTTTGCGGTGAGTGAGGCAACCCATCTTGAAGAGTGGGCGGCGAATTGGCGAGGGTGACGATTGTCAAAGTTGTATCGATGAATGCCGACACAGTCGAGTCGAGAAAGAGAAGAAGAAGGATGATGGTCGCCGAGGGACCAATCGTCGTGTGAATGAGTGTGTGATAACGCAACCCGGACCTGCCGCAAACACAAGTCGTTACTCGCCCGCGAAGTAATCGACAGTGTTTCTCTTGGTGATGACCAGGAGAGAAAGATCGATACTTGAGACGGAACGAAGCCGAAGGAGTAGAGGAAGAAGATTCGGTTGTTGAACGAGAGGGAGAACGGAATGTGGGTCCCAGGGTAGGAAGAAAGGGCTGAATGTGCGACGCAAGAGTTCGGACCGCGCGATTGTCAAGCTGGCATGGTCGAGCGACCGGGCGTTTGAGGGTGGATCAAGACTTGGTGAAGATTCGTGGCGACGTGACGACAGCGAGCAAAAGCCAAGTCGGCTGGTCGACCGTAGGGTGAATTGACAGACCCGGGGGATGGGGGTCAGCTGAAAGTCGTCGAGCAAGCACTTGAAGTTAGGCGGTGACGGTTTTCTGGTTGTGGGTGAATATCCGCGTTTGATCGGCCGCCGTGGGCTGCAAGGCTGAGTCTCAGGATGTCGAAAAGGGCGAAAGAGAGTTACAGTGCGCAATGCGAGTGATTGAGTGAGTGAGTGAGCGAGTATTGAGTGTGTTCAAAGGTCGAGTCTAGAAGGAGCGGACGTCGTGGATAATTCGCACGATCGGAGTGTTTCGGTCGAAAACGTCGAGTCTTACTCTTGAGGCCATGGAAGTGCTTCGTGAAGCTCGAGGAGGAATGTGTGTGGCGTGTTTGTGTGTAAGAGCACAAGACGCAGAGGTAAGCGTTGAAGCGTGTGACCCTTGAATGAGGGAGAGTCTGAGAGAGTGAGAGGGGAGTGGAGGCCTTGAAGAGTGATCTGCGAGAGGGGGGGTCTGACAGTCTGACTAGGGTCAAGACACCGGGTCAGTGCCAAAAGGGAAGGAAAGGGGGGCCATTTGGGTAAGATGATCCAATAATTGATGATTGCCGCTGAGGGTTGCTGAGTCGCAGACCGGGCACACGCATACATGCAGACACTCCTCAGGCGAGGGCAGTTTGGCGGTTTCGAGCAAGCGTCCACCATCCGAGGGGTCCTGCCATCCTGGTAGAGGAGGAGAGGCTTGTGGAGCAATAGCGAACGGAAGCGCGGCCTTTAACGCAGGTCCCATGTCGCAAACTCGCCCAATTCGGATTAGCGCACCAACAGAGCGTTTGAGGTCCCATTTCCCGTGATCATATGGGGGCTTGATTGGCTCAACTCAATTATAGCCCTTGATAAGGCCCCCACATCTTCTACAGTCTCTCACAGTGTTCAACAGTACGTATCCTCTCCGTCGGCCTTCTTCCTCCTCCTCCTTCTCCTCCTCTCCTGCAGTTCTGCGGTCCTGCTCCTGTCTCTCCGCCACCCGTGCCTTGCCGTGCCTCCTCAGCCTCTCATGTTGTGCATCTTCTCTTGCGTCCAATCCATGGGAGAACTCGTCCCGCACCAGGCCTGCCAATTGCTCTGTTCGAGACAGGCACTGGTTCGAGATTGACCATGGCGGCATGGCCACATAGTTCGCGGCCTCATCTTTACAGCCGCGGCTCGGACGCGCCCGCTTCACCCATCCAACCATCGACCCAAGTCCTGCGCCTCTCGAAGCGGCGGGAAGCCGCCGGGAAAGCTGTTTCTTTCTTACTAAATTTTGGTCGCGTTGTTTCGACCGTCCTGAATGAAGCCTGGAGCATCGTGGACTTGTCACTAACCACTCCCACAGACTGCAACGTCAGCTTTCCAACACACTACCTTAGAGCCGCGCCGGCGTGGTGGAGATGAGGCCGACCACAAGGCCTCTCCTCGGTTCCTACCGATCTGGCTTACAAGTGAAATACAACTGACTCTGTTAGGCCCAACACTCGGGCACCCAACAAATGGCAAACAATTATTCCTGAACCAAACCTATACTCATAACGACGCCGGCTGTTCACAGTCGTCGCAGCCAGAATGGATACTCAGCCTTT